AGAAGAGGAGTGGTCCAAGCACTGAGCCCTGAGGCACCCCAGTAGCTAGATGTTGGGTCTTAGATGCCACACCTCTCCACGACACCCTAAAGGACCTACCTGAGAGGTAAGACTCGAACCATTGGAGTGCAGTTCCCGAGATGCCCTTCATCTTTAGGATTGACAGGAGGATCTGGTGGTTAACTGTGTCAAAAGCAGCAGACAGATCCAGCAGGATGAGGACTGAGGATTTGGAAGCTGCTCTTGCCAGTCTCAGAGCTTCAATTACTGAGAGCAGGGCAGTCTCAGTTGAGTGTCCGCTTTTGAAACCAGACTGATTGTCGTCCAAGAGGTTGTTCTGTGTAAGAAAGGAGGAGATCTGGTTGAAAACAACTCGTTCAAGTGTAGGGTTGGGTATCGTTTGGGTTTTATCCGATTCCAGTACCTACTCGGTATTTTTTAAACGGTTCCGGTGCTTAAACGGTTCTTAAATCGGTACTTAAGAAAATGAAACCGCACACACTTTATCAAAAAATAATACCCTTTAATTTACAGGGCCAAACTGGACACAATATTAACTTAAATCTTTAAACAATATAAATACAAGTAACATATGGTAATAATAAAACCAATATAAAATAAAAATTCATATTTACATAATATCAAATGAAACAATATTGTATCAAACAATGTAATAATACTGGAGATTAATAGAGATTACTAGCAGGCAGAGCTGCCAACTCTCACGCATTGACCGTGAGACTCACGCAAATGACCCTTTTCACACAGAAAAATCGCGGACAAAGAGGACACTGACAGACAATACAGAGAAGGTTACTTTTGATATGGAACAAATCCACAGCTGTCAGATTCTGTCAATATTTTTACGAGATTCACACAATAAATAACGTTTTGGCTCTTTGAAATGTGACAGATCGCTGTAGCGCGTCAGTTCAAACGGCACGTGATACAGCAGCCTACAAATACAAATCCACTGCTTCTTAGCTACGCAGCGTTGAGTGAACCTATGAAAGAGAACATCTCTGGTTGGTGTAACATATCTCTCAATAGGGAACGGGACGCAGCCAAGCTCCTCGCGCTGCCGACCAGCTTCCTTTTTCGGCAGAGAAATCTGAGGAGCAGATGGCGCGCGCGCGACAGCATAGTATGACGACGTAAGTGCGTCGATGCGGCGCCATCAGCCAATGAATTGGCTTGATTCTATATGGGATTCAGACTATCGGCACACCCAGAGGGCGTTCTGACACGTAATTTTACACGTGAAATGCAGCCAAACCTTGCAAAAAAGAGCGCGCATGCGAGACAGAAGAAACTGTGCTCCAAACTGTGTAGCACACGCAAGGCGGAGAGAGAGAGAGCGAGAGACCTTGTGTGTGTGTGTGTGCGCGTGTGTGCCTAATGAAGTTAGGCACCGAAATCAGGCACCGAAATTTTCTTTCTTATTCGGTCTGGTTACTACCGTTTACGTCGGAACCGGTTCCCTATTGGCACCGAGTTTCGGTACCCAACCCTATTCAAGTGTTTTCGCGACAAATGGAAGAAGAGATACCGGTCTGTAACTTGTTAGATGTGCTGGATTTAGATTGGGTTTCTTAAGCAGTGGGGTTACTCGAGCCTGCTTAAAAGCTGTGGGAAAGGTACCAGTGTGAAGAGAGGTGTTTATGATGTGCGTGAGTGTGGGTACAACTGAGGAAGAAATGGCTTGAAGTAGATTAGTGGGGATAGGATCAAGCGGACAGGTAGTAGGGCGATTGGAAAGGAGGAGTTTAGAGACTTCCGCCTCTGAAAGTAGAGAGAAGGAGGGTAGAATGTGTGCGTTTGTTGGTAAAATGTGTGTGTCAGTTTGTGGATTGGTAAATTGGCCGCTGATGGTGGTTGTTTTTTCTATGAAAAATGTGGCAAAATCGTCAGCTGTTAGGGTTGATGAAGGAGGAGGAGGAGGAGGGTTAAGAAGAGAGGAGAAGGTTTTGAAAAGCATGCGAGAGTCAGAAGAATTGAAAATTTTGTTGTGATAGTAAGCCATTTTAGCAGTAGAGATATTAGCAGAGAAGGAAGGGAGAAGGGATTGATAACGACCCAGGTCTGTCGAATCTTTCGATTTGCGCCACTTCCTCTCTGCACCCCTGAGTTTAGTACGATGTTCGCGAAGAATATCAGTTAACCAGGGGGCAGAGGGTGTGGCGCGGGCTGGCCTGGAGGAAAGGGGACAGAAGTTGTCCAAGCAGGATGTTAAAGTGGAGAAAAGAGTATCAGTTGCACAGTTAGTATCAAGTGTTGAGAGCTGATCAGGTGGAGGAAGTGTGGATGAGACCAAAGAGGATAGGTGAGAGGGTGAAAGTGAGCGTAGGTTTCGTCGAAAGGTGACCTGTGGAGGAGTGTGTGTTGTGTTCTGAGGCAGGTTGAGGTTGAGAGTGAGGAGGAAGTGATCTGAGGTGTGCAGTGGAGTGACCAGTGTATTGTCCGTAGAGCAGTAGCGCGTGTAGATAAGGTCCAATTGGTTACCTGATTTGTGAGTAGCCACAGTAGATACTCGTTTGAGGTCGAATGATGCAAGCAGGGTGTGGAAATCAGCAGCCTGAGGTTTTTCTAGGTGGATGTTGAAGTCTCCAAGAATTACAAGAGGAGTACCATCTTCAGGGAAGGATGAGAGTTGCACATCAAGCTCCTCCAAAAAACTGCCAAGTTGACCTGGGGGACGATATACAACTACAAAATGGATTTTTATAGGACTAGTGATGGTAATTGAATGTGATTCAAATGAGCTGTTGTCAAATAGAGGTGGTAAAGGATCAAATTTCCAGTCATTTGAGATGAGCAGACCAGTACCACCACCCCTTCCGGTCAGACGGGGGGTGTGTGAGAAAGTGAAGTTAGTGGAGAGGGCAGCAGGTGTGACCGTGTCCTCTGGTCTGATCCAGGTCTCAGTCAGGGCCAATAGACTGAGACCTGAATGACTTGAAAAAGATGTAATGAAATCAGCTTTGTTAACAGCGGACTGGCAGTTCCAGAGACCAATAGGAAAAGAGAATAAAGTATTAGAAGACACCGGAAGGGTACGGAGATTGTTAGGATTGCACCGCCTCTGACGTGTGACGTTTGATTTACGTATGTTAGTAATAGTAGAGATTTGAAAACACATAGTGAAAAGGAGCTTACAAACAGAAAGATTCAAAGAAAAGTGTGTAGAAGAGAAAGGAAACAGCAATAAATAAACAAGAAGAATTTAATACTCAAGTGCTTTGTCGGTGTCCTTGCTCGGTGGAGTCGCACAGGTAGAGTCGCTGGTCTTTACACTCTTTGGTCTTCACACGATGAGGGCTTCACACGAGGGCAGCCGCGACCGCTGCCGCGATGCACTAACCAGTTTTATACACACCTAATACCCTGTTAATGAATACAGCAGGCCACGCCCAACTATTTGTCTCAGTCACGACACAAACAACCGCACGCGCGTTTTTACCAGGGTAAACACAGTAACGAAGAGTCGCGCTAAAATCAAATGAGAAAGTAAACACTCACAGACTGATGTTCTCTCCTGTTGTTCTAATGCTTCTTCTGAAAGACAAATATAGTCTTTGAGAATAAAGTAAAACTGCCACTTAATATTACCATTTAAACCAACCAATTTTTTTTTTTTTTTTTTTTATTAAAAAAAAAAAGAAAAATATAGTCTTTGAGAATCTGTTATTATATATTCAAATCAAAAACCTGAACAAATTAAACAATATGTGAAAAAATCACTAGAGTGTTTCTACCATAGGTTTCTACAGATAGCTGTAAATCCACTAGTGGTAAAAATGTGCTATTGCGTAATAAAAATGCTCAGTGTGTCCACCAGATGGCTCCGATCTCATTTCAAAAATTGCTTTCATGAGGTCTAGACTTGACTCTAAAATGAAATACAGCTTTAATAAAAAAAAATTTTTAATTATATATATATATAAATTTTCTATTATATTCAATGGGAAAAATGGGTCTTAATTATTGCATAAATATTAATTATAAATTATAAAATTATTTTAAAACACCAAAAAAGAAAAGAAAAAATATTATTGAACAAAAATATATTTCATTGATTTTACTCAAATAAAATGTATCTTAATGCCACCCTCCGGGTCATTTTTGACCCGAAGGTCCTGAGTGTGAGTCTAAAATGAGGAACCCCAGAGGGTTAAAGTGTGTTAGAGCATTATAGAGATGTTGGGGTACTGTGAGTCTGTTAAACATTTCACACTGACTGTGTTTATGGTGGTGATTCAGCGAGATGTGCTAATGAGTGCTATTAATAGTCCCATCAGATTCAGCCGTACATCACTCAAACCCACAGGGTGACAAGTGACAGAACACTTGGGTTGCAACAGACTCAGAATTGAATGTGACATGTGTATGATGCAAACTTAGTGGTGCGGTGTCAAAATTGACCCTGTTTGGTTCCTTAATGCACATAATGTGCTTTAGTCATTGGTGCGTGTAATAGACTAATAAAGGATAATGAAGACAAACATTTTATTTGGTAAAGTCAGCTTGAAATAAGTATTCATCCTGCCTATTTTCTGAATATATGTTATAGATCTTATTTTAAACTATCCATCTGTGCATACTTTTCATGTATGTCAGATATACACCACAATATGAAAAAAAAATCTGACAGTAACTTTAAAATGGACTTAAAATGTCATTAAAATGGATGTAATCTCTTTATCTGCCTCTTAGACAGCTTTCTTTTTCGGCTGATATGACCAAACTGCCCTCCAACCATCATACAGACCCTTACCACAATCCAATAAAGTCTGATGACTAAAGTCACGTCCCTTGTTCTCTGCGAACATTACTTCAAGCTGCTGTAAGCGATTTCCCCAGTTTTGCTAATTCCACCACATGCCCTTTCTCCAAAACCCTGCTCTCCAATGGCATGTCAGCCAACCTGAACTGGATCATGATCAAGTAAGCCAAATAAGAATATATTTAGTAACATATTGATATTTGTTGTGTGTGTGTAGGTTTGGGTCAGTCCAGCGGCCTCTCCAGCCATTTGACCCACATGTTTCTATTGACGGCTCCAGTGGAGAATCATCATCTGGTTTCACTAGCCAAGAAAGCACGATGGAACGCAACAAATCAGGTAAACAAACACAACAAAGACATTTATAGAGCTCCAGTCTTTAAACAAAGAGTGCTGTAAATGTTTTTGTGTGTACCGCCCCGTCACTGTGTGAACTCTGCCCTCTGCTGGATAAACTCAGAATAAAGGCTCCTTTATCAAACCCACTGGTGATCAGAGGCTGTGAGATGGTCACTAGTTTGCTGATATTCAGGTGTAAACTGAGTGATGGACTGACTCTGATTAATGTTATTTTTAACTAAAACTTCAACTATTAAAGCTCTTTTTCTTGATTGCCATAAAATATAAATATAAATGAGTTAAATGTTATAAAAAGTTGCCCTGTCAACTAAATGAAATTGAACTGCTAAAATGACTGAAATGACTAAAGCTAAAACTGAAATAAAAAGTTAAATAGAAATATACATATATAATAGTATGTAAATAATGCTAAACTGAGGGCCTGTTTACAGCTGGTATTAAGATGCGTTTTGGTCGATTGGATCATAAGTAGACGAGGGAGACATACCCGATTACACCTGGTGTTTAAATCTGTCTCTTGTCCACTTTCAATCACTTCTGTCCTGATTTCTTTGAGGGGAGGCTCTATGAGCGGGTAAATGTACGGGCTTTTTCAGATCTTTCGATCTAATGGAGAACATCAGCTTTTGTTTCTACTCTGACAGCCGTAAGACCAGCCGAACGCTGTGAGTTGTGTGTTAGAAATCAGGAATGGTGGAGAACATTGTGCTTAGTATGTTTCTTGTCTTCAAACCAAACATGGGTCTTCAGCCGACAAAGTTTAAATCCCGCCTGGCTTGAGCGTTTCCTGAATGTTATCACATTAGGTCAGTAGGCGGAGAGAAGACAGTCTTTTGTGGCTGTTCGAACACATTCAACCACTACAAAAGCAATCCGGTCCAATGCGTTTTTGACTTCGTTTTTGAAAGTGGACAAGCTCAAAACGTTTCAGACCCATTTACTCCTGTATTTAGCGTCGTCCACTTGTGATCCAATCGAACAAAACGCATCTTAATACCAGGTGTAAACGGGGCCTGAAAGAAACGCAACAAACATCTAATAATCAAGCCCAATAAAGAGTTGCAAACACCCTTAGGGGGACGTTCACACTGCCACCCGGGTACAAAGCGACTGGAAGCCACTCATTTTCAATGAGTGACTGATTCTGTCAGTGTGACACCTGTTTGTGTGTGTGTGTCGGACAGAGCCCATGTGGCATGTTCCTGCATCATCACGAGGTGTGTCAGTCGCCTCCGCTCAGAGAAGACAGACCCGACAGGACGTTGCAGGGAAAGACTCTCCAAACCGGCACTCTAAGGTGAGCAGTCGTCCTCATCATCATGATAACAAGGAAGCGGTTTCATTTGGCTCTCATGTACTTATGTCTCTGCTCTCTCTCAGGGTGAGGCACACTATTCCAGTCACTCCAGCAGTAACACACTCTCCAGCAATGCTTCCAGCAGTCACAGCGACGAGCGCTGGTTTGACGGGATGGGAGGTGGGGTTTCCGGTGTCCTGAGTGACCCCTCAGACCCCGACCCGGACCTAATGGGCAAGGGAGGGTCCAGTGACAGTGGCATCGATGCATCTCTCTACACACCAAGTCCCAACACTAAAGGAGCCAAACCTAGCCGCAGTCTTGCAGGAACCCCCCACAAACCCCTGCATGGCTCTGCTACCTACAGCGGCTTGCAGGATCTGTCAGGAGCCGGAGAGGGGCGGCGCAGGGAGTCGTCACCCATCATCGCTGCATCAGCCAGTCAAAGCAAGAACTACCGCACACGCACATTCCCCCCTCCGGGATCGGCCAACGCTGACAACTTCAAAGCAAGGTATTGTGTTTATTCTGCAATGTAAAGACCATTGATTAAAAGTTTGAGTCATTCATGAAATTAAAGGGGTTATATGATATGATGCTTTTTGATGTTTTCCTTTAGTGTGTAATGTATCTGTTTGTGCTTGAATACGATCTGCAAAGTTACAACGCTCAGTCTCACACAAAGGGATTTATTCTATCTAACAGAGAACACTGATCCAGACCTGCCTAAAACACCTCGATCAAAGTCGAGATATAACTTCCTCAAACAATGTGAAATATTAGCATAATGGCCGCCCAATAGGCATACAAGAGAAGAAGAGGCTTTAATGACTTGTAGTGTTGTCACCATGTCGTAGAGACGCTGTGTGTTTGGATGCGAAAGCAAAACTCCTTTGTTTGGCCTTCGAAAATTAATAAAATTAGGAATCAGAGGCAAAGATTTATTTATGAGGTTGTTCTTGAGCAGTACAACCTAAGTTTGTTTGTGCACAGTGCATTTTACGGAGGACAGATTCCTGAACCTGAGAGAGTACAACGCTGGCTATGAAACATTCTGCTCAAGTCATGCTTGCAAAGTTGGTTTTCGATCGATAGGCTTGATCATCCACATTTTCAGAATCCGACTCGGCTCGAACTGACGACGTTATTATAAACTTTGTGTTAAAAATGGCTTAAAGCCTTGGAAGCTGAAGCTTGGGATTATGGTAAATGGTGTTACATTTCCGACATGCTTGAGGTGATTGGCCAATCACAACGCACTGGGTCAGCTGACCAATCAGAGCACTCTGAGCTTTTCGAAAGGAGGGGCTTTGTAGAAATCAGACGGACTGGGAATAGAGGATCTGCAATAATTTACAGCATGTAAAAAATAATGTGTTTTTTTAACATTAAAGCATGTTAACCTATTCTATTACACCCAATAATCAAAATAATTAACTTTTAAAATAGTATCATATAACCCCTTTAATACTTTCATACAGCAAGGATGCATTTATTTGATCAAAAGTGAAGATGTTCTATTCTATTCTAAAAAAATCTATTTTAAATAAATGCTGTTCCTTTCAACGTTCTATTTGTCAAAGAATCCTAACAAAATAAAAAAAGTATTACAGTTTCTATAAACCCATTAAGCTGCACAACTGTTTTCAACATTGATATTAAGAAATGTTTCCTTAGCAGCAATTCATCATATTAGAATGTTTTCTGAAAGATCATGTGACACTGAAGACCTAAATTAGAAACCGTTATTTGAAATTGTAATAATATTTCACACGATTATGGTTTTAAATGTATTTTTGATCAAATAAATGCAGCCTTGGTGAGCAGAAAAGACTTCTTAATGACCTCAAACATCTGAATTGTGTGTATTTAGGGCCTGCTATACCCCCCAAGGGTTTAAGACCCCTGCTGTGGCCGATAAACCCCGGCCTTTCAGATCTTCAACAGTCACACCCATGTCAGGATCCGCCCAGCTGTCAAGCTCCGCCCCCAAGTCATTTAGTAAAAGCAAGAGTGCATGGCAACAGGAGGAGAACATCACAGCAACCAGCACCACCTCCACCGACAGCAACAAGTACATATGTTTATAAAACGCATTTTCATATTTGAGTCGGGTTATGAAATAGATGCATCACATATTTGAATGTCCTGGTTATTGTGTGTGCTTTCAGGCAGGTGGATATGAACAGTAAGAACGTGTTCGGACAGCCTCGGTTACGTGCCTCTCTGAGGGACCTGCGCTCACCACGCAGAAATCACAAGAGCACCATTGAAGACGACTTGAAAAAGCTCATCATTATGGACAACCCTGCGGATACACCATCACGGGATGCGGTGAGCGCACACAAACACTGAAAAGGCTACACAACTCTGCTTGTAAACACAATGATTTGAGCATTGCGTGTTTGTTCTCCTCTACAGTCTCCTCATCGGACCCTGCAACGTACTTTCTCAGATGAGAGTCTGTGCAGTGGACGGAGAGATTCTAGTTATGCAAGCACGCCTCTTTTTGAAGGACAAGTGCCGCCCAGTGACCTTCTCTTCACCTGCACGCTGCCTATTCGTCGCCACGGTCACAACACCAACCTTGGAGCCCTCATGCCCAGTAAGAAAGGTGGGTGTCATTTGCTAGTCATAAGTTGCGTCCCAAATGTCGCACTTATACACTATGTAATTACTGTATGCACTATGTACTCATCCGTGTAGTGGATGAATTTTATAAGGTTATTTTGTCATTCCCCTCCCCCTCTGCCACTTAAATAAAGTTGCGACAGTTGAGTGCATGAAGTTTGTTTTTCCCATTATACAGATATTTAAAGTGCACTTTTTCTTTATTTAAATGTATATTTAAAGTGAATTTTCAGTGTGAACACACTACTTGCACTATATATACTTAAAAATGTCATAGAATAGTGCAATTGTGATGTGCCTATAGTCAGTTGGCATCCTTTACTGTTATCTGCTAATAGCATTGGAATAAACTGTCCATTTGTTGTTCCTCCAGTACCGTTGTCTGCATCCGAGTTGTCATTGACTGAAGTGAGGGATAAGGTTCCTCCTCTCAGAAGACTGGACCCTGGACTCATACCTCTTCCTGACACTGCCTGTGGACTGGAGTGGTCCAGCCTCGTCAATGCAGCCAAAGCATATGAAGGTATGAGGCCGCAGTTTCTGCTAGGGATGCACGATATATCGACCACATATCGAAATCGGCCGATAAATTGTCATTTTTGATGTTATCGATCCGATAAGAAAATTAGGCCGATATATCAAAGCCGATAGATAAAAGATTGTTTACTTCAGTTGAGAGATGCGCGCTGTTCGCCATGATGGTGTTGAATGATTTCACTTGGAAAAGGAAGATATTTAAGTGCTAGCCTGGCTAACGTCACACCACGTCTCATTGACATTGAGACTTGGGTCTGGGAACCACATGTTCATTTTCTCGTATTTGAGGCGTGGTTTACGAACGCCCAGAGCCGTGTATTGGGTCCTACGAATGTCTATCAAATGCGCCTGTACGTAGCTCATAGCCAATCGTTTCAATTATACCAGATGACGCATGTAGAGCGAAAGAAATTAGACGAGGAAGAAGACGATGGGTCCGATTTATTTGCGTTCTAAACTACTTAGAACAATATCTAAGGCTGCATCGAAAGGTAACTATGCGTCTGCTGCCATGTTGGATCCATAGGTATAAACAAACTGCTTCGGTGTGTTGCATAGACGTAGTCATCGTCTTGCTGCTCCCTCCCCGTTCTTTGATTGGTCCCCTCGCTGAGGTGAAAATCTGGTCCATGGTATCCAGACTACCTAGCAGCGTGAATAAAATCGTGCTGCGCAAAGGCAGCATGGGGAAACCCAGGCTAGTTAAGTGCAGCATGTGCAACACAAATCTGTCACATGGGCTTCATAACATTATAATAACACAACTGTAAAAGAATGTTGTGAATTCTTGTTCGCCAGTGTTTAAGCTGGAGTAAGTCTGGAGTTTAGCCTTCATGACAAGCACAGTCAAGTTCGCTTGAGCATTCACAGCATTTTGTGCCATTGTAAGTTGTAATATGTTTATTTTGTGTAGCCTATATATATCTGATTAATCTCATATAGGATGCGTTTGGTTGAGTTCATGAACGATGCAGTAAAAGCACTTCATTGTAGGCCTACAGGTGATCATATTTATCCTTAGCGTGTAAAATTAATTTGAAAAGTTAAGGAATCTTACACGGGTTCAAACTAGGCTACTGTATTGGATATGTTTGATTGATGTTGAAGTGTTTGGGACATGGCTTTTAATGGCAAGCTTTTTGTTTTTGTATTCAGGCTATCAAAGTATATCAACATTTTAATTTAGATTTATCGGCCAATATATCGGTTATCGGCTTTCAAATGTAAAGAATTGTCTGTTATCGGTATCGGCCAAAATGTTCATATCGGTGCATCCCTAGTTTCTACGTCAAACTAAGATACTTGAAGGTATGGAAGCCAATTTCCACCACATAAGAAAACAAATAATGCTTTGGTAAAAAGTCATAAAGTTTTTTTTTTATTTTTATTTTTTATCTAAATAAGATAATTTACATTTTAGGACATTTAATTTCAGCTTTTTGTCATTTTTGACTTCTTATCTCATAATGAGTGTCATTTTTGACTATCTCATAATGATTGTCATAATTTTGACTTTTTATCTCATTGACGACTTATTTCATAATTTCAATGTCATAATTAAAAAAATTTCCTATCTCATAATTATATCTTATTTTTTCATAATTTCAACTGTCGTAATTTAGTTTATCTCATAATTATGACTGTCATCATTTTGACCTCTTTTTTCATAGTTGACTTATTTCATAATTTCAACTGTTGTAATTTAGATATGTAGATTCATAATTTTGACTTTTTATCTCATAATTATTACTACTTATTTCATTTTTTCTTCTAATCAAGTTTGACTTTTTGTCATAATGTAGTTTTTATTTCCTCAGGTTTTTGACACTTAATATGATAATTTCAACTTAATAATTATGTATTACCAAAGCATGATTTGTTTTATGTCGTGGAAATGGATTTCCATATACAGTAAAGATGATGCCATTTGTAGGATGAATCCACAGAGTGTAATCGCATGGCTGTGTGTGGTTTACAGACTTTACCTTTGAGTTTGTTTTGTGTCTTTAATACATTTCATACTACATGGGAATGTTGCAGAGTCATTCATCACACTGGTGATCTTAATGATTAATTATGACTGCATGTTTTATTTTACAGTGCAAAGAGCAGTTTCTTTGTTCTCATTGTCTGAGTCTCACGCGGGCAGCAATGAGCTGAGACCCGTCATCAGTCCGGTGCCTTTCCACACGCCACAGACTCCCCGCACCACTCCTACTTTCAGCAGGTACTGTATCTATACTTGCTCTTCCTCTGAGTGGAGGCAGAAGCATGCATTGTCTCTGCAATTTTCCATAAAGTTTTGGATGGGTATTCAAATAAGAATTGAAATGCTAGGATACTTGTTTTAACTTGTTTTTCATTTGTGTGTTGCAGTGAAGAGGTTCCCAATGACCTGTCTGGGCGTCTGTATCATCTGGAAGTCATGCTGAAACAGCTGAACACTGATCTGGAAAAAGTGAGTTACATCGGAGGGATCTGACCGGTGCAGGACAGGTTCAATAGAGATGGGTGTTTTTAGTCATTTTGTAGTTGAGGAACACATAAAACAAAAAAAGTATTTGATTATTTGAGAATGTTAGTTGAAATTAAAGAATGACAAATTATATAAAATTACATTTTATTCACAAACCAATCTGTTACCAACAGAGTTCAACGGAACTTGCGACCATAGTTGGCTAACGATGCTTTTGGGAAACGCACCCCTGATAAGTAACCAAGTTTCCATCATAAAAGCAGATATCAGATATATATTGGCATATCTATAGAGCGCTGCAGGGATGATGTTTTTTTGTAGGCCAACCCAGAAGTTGGCATCACACTGGTTCACTCAGTAAAAAGCCTTAGGATTTTTTCCATTGGCTTTTGGATTATTGCATAATAAGCTCTGTGACCAAGAAAGGTTTTTGATTCTTACATGTTTTGTTCATCATCTTCACAAATTAACTTAACTTTTATACATTTTGAAGCCTAAATACAATGACCAGAAGTAAAAACCTAGTTCAGACACCTACAAGTTGGAAAGTTTGAATAGTTTGCGCAAGTGTGTGTATAAACACAATGACTCTGTGAAAGCGGATTGGTCAGTGGATGAGTTTCCCGTTTCATCGTGATGATGTTTAATGTCCCAGACAACCTCTGTAGTCCCTTTTAGCCACTTCTTAGCAACCGCCTTTTTAAAGACACGCAAAAACTTTCAAGATTGCACTGGGGTTTTGCTGATGTATTTTATGTTGTAGAATAAAATCTTGAGCTTGTGTGAACCACAGGCCTTATTTCAGGCATTTAACCAAAAATCCATTTAAAAAACCTGTTGACTTCAGAGCGATGGAATCGAAGTAGAATTGCTTACTAGTTTCTGAGTTTTAAGACCCATTCCTGCAGCACTATAAAGAATAAAAATAGTAGCGCACTAGTAGGATCTCTGAACACAACGTCACACGTTCACTCTTGAAAGCGAGATTCAGGTGAAGGATTCAGTACATGATGCAAATAAAATCCATTTGTGTAGTTTTACTGGTGGTGCAGAAAAAGTACTGGATTAGCTGATAACCTGTGCGCATCCGTACTTCACCCTGGACAGTTAAAGAGGCCACGAACTGCATTTTTTATAACGTTTCCTGAGGTGCACTTATAATGTTAGTATGATTTTTACATAAAAAAATTGTCATAATTTAGAAATAAAAGGCAATTTTCTACCCTGATTTTAGCCCTCTGATTTGAGCGCTCCGTTGGAAGGGTCGTGTCTGCTGCTGTGAGACGTGTAAACGCCCACTGCTGTGATTGGCTAACATCTTGCAAGTATTACATGTGAAACTCTCTCGAAATCTTTTACTACGTTTCTACTATTACAGCTGTCGAGATGAACCAATCGTGAAAACGTCGATTACAGCAATAAATTGACATTTACTCCCGTTGCATGAAAGGTTGCAGCGATGAGCATGTAGACTCGTCATCGCAACTCGATTTCTGCACTCTCACGAATGCTTTCATCATAACTAACAGTGCAAACACGATGTGAAGAAGAGATTCATTGTGAGTGTAGACAGCGTCATTGATTATAATGGACTCAGTCACTGATAACCTCGCTGTGTGATTGGCAGCTCCAGCGATTATAAAGGGAGCGTTCTTTGATCGCTTTCTGTATATAATTTAATCATAATTTAAATGACAGATTATTTTCATGATAGTAAGAGAAACAATGTGAAGTTGACTGGCTTGATTTACTGACACATAAACGGCAATAAAAGATGAACGTCTGGTCTGACTGTACGAGAATCATTACATATCAGAAATCACTGATCGCAGATCAGGCTTAAGAATTAACACGGTTACTTACATATTGTGGCATTACTATTGGGTTCATATTTTGTTCATAGTTTGCAAAGCCTTCACCGAAATTGCGACTGATTTACCAAAGAATCCAGAGTGAAATGTTCCGAACAAACAAAAAGTGCTCTACTGAGATTAAAAAATAATTAAGCACTTTCCTAACATTAGGATCCTTTGGAAGGTAATGTTATTTCTAGTCCAGTGATCCTGTATCGCTCTTCTCTCCTTCGTCTCTATAACGTGCCAGTGGGCGGGGCCAAAGATGTGATGATGTATAAGTGGGTGTTGATCTGATTCTGCAGAGGCGGTCTTTCGTCGCACTGTTACGTCATGACAGAATCCGCCGTTTTCAGAGCTTGGTTTCAATAAAAACTGTTTTTGGACAAATGAGAAATTTTTAAGTTCTGAAACTTACAGGATGTTTTTATAGTATAATAACCTGTCAAAAAATCTTTTGATTTCTCCATTCATGACCCCTGTAAAAGTTAAATAAAACAAAAAAATGTTAAAAATGAAAGAAAATAAAAGTGAAAGATTTTATAGTGACTTGGCCGTTTTTGATGACATCCTCTAATCATGCTTCTCTCTTTCTCTCCTCCTTTTCCCTGGTCTGTTCCTGTCCTTCCCTCTCAGGAGAAACAGGACAAGGCCGTGTTGTTAGCAGAGATGGCTAATCTGAGGCACAACAACCACCGTCTGCAAGAGGAATCGCACTCAGCCAGTGAACAGCTCCGCAAGTTCAGTAAACTCTTATCCTCTACCATTCCTGAGAGGAAATGAGTGCTTCCTTTCATTTGAGAAGAGAAGATGAGAGGGGATCTTCACGTACCTGTACTGTGCCTAAAATATGGCATGTTTAGCTCATTTAATTCAAAGTCTCTTATCGCCCAGTTCATCCACTGTCCCGCTCGCCCTCATATAAGGCAAGTCTGCCAGCTCGTCCTCACCACACAGAAACCCGTGAGCTTTATGAAAGTGTGACGGAGGGAACTGAGAGTTTATGCGGGTCTGCCAGATGACTTGAGACTTTAAAGCTTTAAATTAAAGCCGGTACAGAAGTACAAAGTATATTTTTACACACACACACAAACACACATACACACACACACACACACACACACACACACGTCCTACCTTGAAACAAGCGAGCTCTTTATCTGATCGAACTACTTTCGGAACTATTTTCTCATTGTAGATTTATTTTTGTACTCGACGATTCGACACTAAGCTTGAGCCAGTGAAACTGAGAGGCCTATTTACTGCACAGTCAGCTCAACAGCCAAAAAATGAAAATAAACAAATCAAAAAATAAACACTTGAGAGAAGATCCCTTTCCCAGCATGTTGAGAGAAATCACGGTACTGTAAGTGTGAGAAGAGGTACAGTGCTCTGGGAAAGTCTAATTCTAAACCACATAATCTCATGTGCAGGTACAGTAGACGCTGTTGTATTCATATTTATATTCAACGGAGAGGCAATTGTACAAACCATCCCTCATCTCAACTGATTTATCATCCATAAATCTTCAACGCAGACTTCATAGTGACTGAAAGCCCTCTGCAATAACAGCTCTGTAGACGGAGAATCGCCACTTTCTAACGGAAAAGCAACCGCTACTAAAACTGTGATGTTCCACCCAAGTCTTTGATCGTTTCCTCTGTGCATTGACATCGGTCAGTCTTTAAGTGACAGTGTCATGTGACAGGAAATGCCACTTGCTCTTTTATGTCTAGTTTTGGCATAGCACTGTGTGTAAACTTGGGCTGTTCTGTCAGATTCCGACACTGTATATGTATATGCAAAGCCGACTCTTAAGAAACCCTAGTCGGCTGTGTTCAGACTCTATTTTTCTATTTGTATTTAGTTCAGGTTTATCAGGTGAAATGACTGTTGGCAATAGATGGCTGTTTTCAACTTCTAGACAGATCATCGTGTTTACAAGACGATCCGCGCCGTACTCGGACTGCAGTTGTTTATGAGCTCTGGAAAATCCTAACTGGAATAACAGTCAGGCTGGATCGAATATGGTTTAACATGTACCCCATGTTACTCTGTACATGTCTGCCTTAAAAGTGGTCATCTGTGACCAGTGATGTGTTGTAATTTTACGACCCATATCAGCTCTCTCCATCCCTTTAACCTGATGCGACTGGAAAAATATCTCCTCCTCTCTCAGGACCCGTAAGCTGCCCTCTCGATGACCTGATCTCTATTCCTCTGACCTATTTATTCACATCAGAGCAAAAGCACTGCAACAGTCAGTCGACTTTATTGCATTAGTCATCATAGCTAGCTATGAGTGAAAATATGATGTCTCTGCTCTTCTCAGACACACAAAAAACAACTATATTCATCCCTATGACAGTAACTAGCACTGTAAAACGCAAAAGTTTTTATTTATGGGGTGAGAGATACAAATAATAAGCCCTGACATCATTCATTGCAGCTGTTTAGTAGTGTAATTGTATAGTGCTTTTATACAAGGCTTTAAACTGCTGATAGCTAATGTTACATGTTCTCCCCACTATTATGAGGATAAAAATACATTTAAAGGGACAAGGATGAAAATTATGTCATCATTTTCTCAGCCTCGTGTCGTTCCAAACCTGTATGACTTTCTTTCTTCTGTGGAATATCATTTGAAGAATTTGGTTCCCATTGACTTCCATTGTATTTTATGTCCATCTAAAGAAAGTCAATAGGTTTGAAACAACACAAGGGTGAGTAAACAATGACAGAATTTCCCCTTTAAATGAAAGTCTGTATACATGTTGGAAGCTTTTAGTTACACATCGTCACCCTGGACATTTATTATCATATTATAAGCTCATTCATCCCCTCTTTTAGATCAGTTTTTCTCATCTCATTGCTGTGACTACAAGAAATTCACCCACTGTGTTTTTTCTGTCAATGAAGTGGGAGGTTTCTCAGACTCTTGGTGTCTCATTTGGTTCCTGGGTGTCATATCTACACCATGGATTGTCTTATGATTTCTGTTTGTATGCTTGTTTGATAGTCGGGTGGAGGTGTTTTAATTAAGTTTGTTTTTAAGGATAAATATGAATAATATACTTGTGAAAACATCTATGTGCATCTGTGTTGCGCATTCTTAAATCATGGCAAATTATATAGTCCAGCTGTAATATTTGAAGGTTTATTTTTATGTGTAATATTTTGACTATTTATTTTGATTCTTTTTTTTGTTTGTTTGTTTGGTCTTTTTATAAATACGAAAAGACAAATTCAAGGTGAAAATTACAAGATTGCAGATTTGGTAACATTATTGGAGGGTACTGAGTCTATGTATTTTTTAGTTTTTCTTTTATATTTTGTTTGATTCATGATCTTTTGTACAAAGCTGATTTTATCCTTTTTTGTTTCTTATTTTTAAACTTTATTGTAATTCACATTTTGTCTCTGTTTCCATTAGCTTCATGCATGAAACAGCGGCTCCGATGCCTTGATTTAACTATTGATAACTGATCAATCTTTCAGTTTCTTTTAGGGATGTTGTATCAATGAGTGTACATTTAATAAGTGTAAATTATGTTTTCATTATTTTATAAAAAAATATATTAAAATATTTCATAATGATACCAGTCTTGACTGTTATTTTATTTGACTAATATTTTATGCTATACTGGGAGAGAAACGCTTGTGTGATTGACATGATTGAAGGGGTCATACTGTGAGGAATCTGAAGTCTAAAAAGTGTATCTGTTGGAACTAAACTGCAAAAACATCTCATTCTGAAAAACCTTGGACACCGCTATTCAATATTCAGAAACTTGGTCTAACCATTCCTAGTTAGAAATATGGTGAAAGTAGGACAGATGCTGTTATTCCTAAAAACCAGAAGAACTAAATAAAAATAAAATCAGACAAAAATGGGTAGGTAATGTATGGAACAATAGTTTTCGGGTTGAACGCAACATTGGCTTCTTCTGCTGGGAGGGAAAATCTAAATAATTTTAAAAAACATTTAAAATAATAAAGAAAAGATGTAAAGCTCTTTTACTCTTCTAGTTTAAAAACAAGGCTCAGGCAAAAGACAGGGGTGTCTCAAAAAATTGAGTATATCGAATATCATGTGAAAGGTTTTTTTTTTGGTGTAATTTAATTAAAGTAAAACTTTCATATATTATAGATTCATTAGGCATAAAGTAAAATATGTCAAGCCTTTTTTCAATGATTATGGCTTACAGCTCATGAAAATAAAAATCCAGTATTTTAGATTATTAGAATATTTCCTAAAATAAATCTGAAAGATTTGAAAAGTGTTAATCCTGAAAAAGGATATCAGCATCTCCATAAAGCTTGTCAGCAGATGGAAGTACTCTAAAATCTTCTAGTAGACAACTGCGTTGACTTTGGACTTGATAAAACACAGTGGACCAACACCAGCAGATGACATGGCACCCCGGATCATCACTGACTGTGGAAACTTCACACTAGACTTCAAGCAAGTTGGATCCTGTGCCTCTCCACTATTCCTCCTGACTATGGGACATTGATTTCCAAATGAAATGGAAAATGTACTTTCTTCTGAAAAGACTTTGAACCACTGAAATACAGTCCAGTTCTTTTTCTCTTTAGCCCAGGTACGACGCTTCTGATGTTGTCTCTGGTTCAGGAGTGGCTTGGTGCTAATGTGACAGTTGTAGCCCTTTTCCTGAAAACATCTGGCTCTTGATGCACCGACTCCAGCTTCAGTCCACTCCTTGTGAAGCTCTCACAAGTTCTTCAATTGACTTCACTTGACAATCTTCTCAAGTCTGCGGTCATCCCTGTTGCTTGTGTACATTCTCTTGCCACTCTTTTTCCTTCCAGTCAACTTTCCAGAAATATGCTTCGATACAGCGCTCTGTGAACAGCAAGCCCTTTCAGCGATGCCCTTTTGTGGCTTACCCTTCCTTTTGGAGGGTGTCAATGATCGTCTTCTGGACAACTGTCAAGTAAGCAGACTTCCCCATGATTGTGGTTAAGAGTACTGAAGTAGACCGAGAGATACCCGGTATTTATTATGTATGAATGGTAATTTAATCAAGTTTGAAATTAAATATTCTAACATTTTTAGTCCTCTGATGCAATGCATTTTTTTCCCCAGCAACAAGCCTCGTGCTTTTCCCCTTAAAACATTCACCAATGCCCAAAATTAATAAGAGAACCAATGAAAAATCTGTAGTCCATTTAATTTGATCAAAATTAAGTGTTTAAATCAAGGCAACAACACAAAGAAATATAGCTTCAGTTTATAGTTTATTTACTTTGTAACTGTTTGTAAAAAGCATTTGTGAAGCCACAACACGCACAACCTTGAGGCGGATGGGCTACAACAGCAGAAGACCCCACCGGGTACCACTCATCTCCACTACAATGTGAAAAAGAGGCTACAATTTGCAAGAGCTCACCAAAATTGGACAGTTGAAGACTGGAAAAATGTTGTCTGGTCTGATGAGTCTCGATTTCTGTTGAGACATTCAGATGGTAGAGTCAGAATTTGGCGTAAACAGAATGAGAACATGGATCCATCATGCCTTGTTACCACTGTGCAGGCTGGTGGTGGTGGTGGTGTAATGGTGTGGGGGATGTTTTCTTAGAACACTTTAGGCCCCTTAGTGCCAACTGGGCATCGTTTAAATGCCACGGCCTACCTGAGCATTGTTTCTGACCATGTCCATCCCTTTATGGCCATAAATCCATCCTCTGATGGCTACTTCCAGCAGGATAATGCACCATGTCACAAAGCTCGAATCATTTCAAATTGGTTTCTTGAACATGACTGAGTTCACTGTACTAAAATGGCCCCCACAGTCACCAGATCTCAACCCAATAGAGCATCTTTGGGATGTGGTGGAACGGGAGCTTCGTGCCCTGGATGTGCATCCCACAAATCTCCATCAACCGCAAGATGCTATCCTATCAATATGGGCCAACATTTCTAAAGAATGCTTTCAGCACCTTGTTGAATCAATGCCACGTAGAATTAAGGCAGTTCTGCAGGCGAAAGGGGGTCAAACACAGTATTAGTATGGTGTTCCTAATAATCCTTTAGGGGAGTGTATATAAAACTATGTATAGAAATATGAAAAAGTAGTGATTCATTTTTGAAAAAGTAGCGATTCTTTTTGGAAAAAGTATGAGTGGCCACTCCCCCTCTCAGCTTAACATTAGTAGTTTTCTCAGAGTTTAGGCTCCTGTCCTGTGTAATAGTAGCCTAGGCCATTCAGCTACTCAAACATACCAAACCAACAATTACTTTGAAGAAATTTAAACAGAGCAGCAGCACGAGCTTTGATGACGACACAGCTGTTTGTAGATTGGCCGAATTCACCTGATGACAACGATCTCGTGTGTTTCGAGTTTATTCCTAGACTGTAAGGTTTATTTTCACACCTTCAGTTCCACTAATGCTCACAAATCACTTTTTTATAACAGAAAAAGTTATTTTCATGTAGTCGCGATGTTATATCCTATTGTGTCATATTTATCAAAATAAAACTGATAAAAATGTATACCCCACTACATTGGTATTTAGTAGGTGATATGTTTATGGTGATCTTTTCTTGTACAAACAGATGCTGTATTAAGCAGTATATAAAGTATTAAACTGAAACGTATCTGAAATGTCAGTGTATTTGACAAATATCGCATTTATTTCACTTTAGCTGTGATAAAGTGTGCAAACGTCCTGCTGCACCGTGGATAAATGCCAAGTGTGGTAAAGTGGTGGTATTTGTGGCCTGTACCTTTAAGATGACGCGATACCTCAGCCACATGACATCACCATAGCGGAAGCGCAGTTAAAAGAAGCTGCAGCACTGTGTACACCCATCAGAAGCCCGAATAAAAGAAGCAGAAAAGGAAAACCCGTATATTGTTAGTTAGTTCGCCATGCATACGATTTCAAACATCTAACGTTAGCGACTTCAGGAGAGTAAAGCTGCTGATGTAGGCTGTGACTGACTTTCTAGAGCAGAGTGACTGAAGTCCAGCTCAAGTGTTCACAGAGAGACTTCAGTCAGTGACTGCATTATTAATAGACACAACTTATACAGACTCCAAACGGAAGGATGTACTTTACGTGTTTGTGCTCTTTGGGGGGTGCGGAGCTATTAAGGAAGTTTCTGGCAATATCTAAGTTCATTTAACGTTTCAAGGTAAAATCGCTTTATGTCATGTGACGTTTTAAAAGGATAATTAACGTTAATTCTAGTAGAGTCATCTCTGGTTCTTGTTTACGAGGCAAATCAAAAAGACCTGACACACCTCAAGCATTACGCGTTTTGTTAAGCTCTACAATGTCATATAGATTAGTGTTTTACACAGCATCAGCGCGCGCTGCACGGTGACAATAGCGTTTAACGGACAAAGTTGGCCGTTTTAAGTGCTGACGTGTCGTTTGGCGAGCGGCCAGTGCCGCATCTGGAAGGACACGCCTGTCCGCTGTCCCAGCACCTTTAACTGGGAGTCAGCACTCAAAGTCACGTCAAAATGTCAAGAACCAGTCGAAGGTCCAAAGCTTTGCACCCCAGTAACGGGCACACGTTGGCCGGATGCGATCCGCTGAGAGCGGCGCGCGTGCGTGTGCGTGTGCGCGTGCTGCTGCTGTGTCTCTGCGGCGCGCTCTCGCTGGCCGTGATTCTGGTGCTGTATATCTCTGCGGAGTCCAGTACCAGCAGCTCAACACAACACCACACTGCAGATCTCATCAGGGACAGGGTGAGTTCACATCGAGCTATGCATGTTAACGACATGTCACGTAGTATCTAACACAATCATGTAGAGCCGAAGATGACCCTGGCTGTCATTATTTGTTCCTGAGTTATGTAATTGCACCCTCATGGTTAACTAAAACTATGAAAAAATAATAGAAGTAAACCCAATATAAATTTAACACAATATACATATTAAATTAAAAACGTAAACTACATTGCTTGTAACGTTACAGAAAGGTCACTCCCTATGTACATTGATATGTTTTGTTGTAATTTTTATTGTGCTATCTTTTATGTTCGTATTTGTGATAAATGCTATTCTGAGATGTATGGCGAACACGAAAATGATACACAGTATCTGAAATACAAGTGATAAATGTTTCTAAAAAAATAAAAGCTAATTCACAATATTAAGGAAAACTAAAATAGTACCGGTCAAAAGTTTGGAAACATTACTGTTTAATGTTTTTGAAAGAATTTTCTTATGCTCATCAAGCCTGCATTTATTTAATCAAAAATACAGAAAAAATTAATAATATTGTGAAATATTATTACAATTTAAAATAATGGTTTTCTATTTTAATTTACTTTAAAATGTAATTTATTTCTGTGATGCAAAACTGAATTTTCATCAGCCATTACTCCAGTCTTCAGTGTCACATGATCCTTCAGAAATCATTATATGATGATTTATTATCAATGTTTGAAACAGTTGTGCTGCTTAATATTTTTTTTTTTTGTGGAAACTGTGATACTTTTTTCATTGATGAATAAAAAAAAACAGTATTTATTCTAAATAGAAACCTTTTCTAACAATATAAATCTTAACTATCACTTTTCATCAATTTAACACATCCTTGCTGAATAAAAGTATTAATTTCTTTCAAAAACGAAAGGAAAAAAGTACTGGCCCAAAACATTTGAACGGTTGTATATATTATTACAAAATTGTTATTAAGCATCACAACTGTTTCCAACACTGATAATAAATCATCATATTAGAATAATTTCTGAAGGATCATGTGACACTGAAGACTGGAGTAATGATGCTGAAAACTCAGCTTTGCATCACAGGAATAAAATATATTAAACTAGAAAACCATTTTGTTTCCCTGTATTTTTGATCAAATAAATGCAAGCTTGATGAGCATAAGAGACTTTTTTTCAAAAACAGTTTCCAAACTTTTGATTGCCACTGTATGATTCAGTTAGTGTTCACACTGCTATTTTCCATATCAGGTAAAGTGACTGTGTGTATTGACTCTACCATGCTCCAAAAGTGACAAAAAATACCATGAAATAAGCTAATTGTGCATCATATTCCATTAGATATTGCATGCATAGTTATGGTATGAAACACAAGTTGTATGGACTACTGTTATGGTGCTTATTTTGTCATTCAAATCACAGCCCAGCTTACTTTAGTTTTTAACCTGCTTCAACACACCTGCCTTGAAGTTTTAATTAATTACCTGGTTCAGATTTGTTTAACCAGGATTGGAGCTAAATTCTACAGGAAGGTGATTGGACATCCTTGTAAGCCAAGATAAATAGTCACATGTCTACCTCTACCTTATTCTTTCTGCAGCTTTCCCATAAGCCAAGTAAACACTCAGTAGCACAAATAAAGAAGTTTGCAGCACAGGTGGATGGGCATCGGCTGTGGGAGACTCACCTGCGGCCCCTCCTGATTCAACGAGTGCCTGGGACTGCAGGAAGTCAGACCATACGACAGGTCGGAACAACACATGTTTCTGGGCCACAATTGACAATATACAGGAGTCATATAAGTGGATCAAAAAAGTTCCTCAAAGCTGTCCTAAGACAAGAACGGGTATTGTTCAAAATCCATGTATAACTTTTGATGAAAGGTTTTGATCCACTTCAAATGTTGACTACTGTACATTGTTTCCTGTTGGTTGTATTTCTTATTTGTAGCCAGTAACTTAAATCATTGCTCTCTTCTTAAAGTATCTCAGGGGCGTCGCAATGCAAAAATGCAACAATATGTATCGTGGATATAGTGACAATGTGTATTGTGTATAGTTCACCCAAAATGACAATTACTGTGCGTGAAAAAAGTTTTTTAGTGTCAGTACTACATAAAACTGCTATATATAATGTTGAATGTAATGCATAATAATGCAATGGGGGAATATTTGTGGGTCCTGATAATGCCACATGTCTAATGAGTATTTTTGTTCTGGTGTCTCTATTGTCCTGTGCGTTGGGTTACGAGCACCAAGTCCAAGCCTATTCATTTACACCCCCAATGTAATAACAAATTTAGCATTTTAATCAACAGTTCATTTTTGTTAACCTTTTATCATATTTCTTGAGTATCGCAATAATATCGTATCGTGATATGTATCGAATCGTGACATGATGGTATCGACACCCCTATCTTCTGCTGATAAGCATGCAGTGAAGTTTACTAAAGTTCTCTCGCCTCTTGTCCAGCATATCTTGTCCCGGCTGGGTTCACTGTCGGCAGGATGGACGCTGGAGGAGAATTCCTTCGTTTCATCCACCCCGAAGGGTGACGTGACCTTCACCAATGTGCTAGCAGTGCTGGACCCCTCGGCTCCTCGCAGGCTGATCCTAGCATGCCACCACGACTCAAAGATCTTTCCCACCGACCCTAAAAACCCCAGGCGAGTGTTTGTGGGAGCCAGTGACTCAGCCGTTCCCTGTGCCATGATCTTGGAGCTGGCTGCGTCTCTGGACACACAGCTTAAAGCCCTCAAACAACAGGTAGATCGCAATCATGTTCTTCTAGATATCTTCTATGGCCCTATTCGGACGGGACTCATTTTCTAAACCAGGTTTATCTTATCACCTGATGTCTGTGAATTAATGTACCGATTGAGAGGGGACTAACATCTCTGTGTTTATTACAGCCCATGTTTTCTAGATGTGGGCGCTACAGAAGGTCATGTGCTGGGCTTGCGCATGTCTTTTTATTAATTATTTATTGATATCATTTTCATTTATTATAAAAACTCTATTTAAATAAACTTCACATGCATTTATAGAAGTGGCTGTATATAATGATTCCACGTAAGACATCTAGACGGGTATCTTACCTGGCACTAATGTTAAAGTGGGCAGTTTCTTCGATCTGGCTCTATTTATTCATTTTATAATTGTCTTTTTTCGTCGGGTACTAGCCATATCGAAATGAAATGAAAGAATGCAGAAGATTGGTGCGCAAACGGTAGCTCAGGTAGGTCAAAAAACACAAGGAGATCGTGCACTAAGACCGACGGAAAATGTAAAGTTGCGATTTTCTAGGCTGATATGGCTAGGAACTATACTCTCATTCCTGCGTAATAATCAAGAAACTTCACTGCCGTGCCATGAGTGCAGCAGGCGTAATGATATGACGCAGCGCCTGAAAATAGTTCCGTTGTGTTGACGGAAGGTGGCCTATTTTCAGGCGCTGCGTCATATCATTACGCCTGCTGCACTCATGTTTTTATTTTTATTTTTTATTGAAGAAATGTTTTACAGTAGTGCAAATATACATTTCTTAGAAATATAGAACATTTCCAAAAAAGCATCTATTATACATAGTCAAATTTGCACAATCAAAGGATACTGAACGAAAAAAAAAAAAAAAAACATAAATAAATAAAAATAAATTTTAAATAAAAAAAAAACGGCAGAGATATAGCTCATGGAACATGAAGGATCTCATCATATTGGTACGGCAGTGAAGTTTCTTGATTATTACGCAGGAATGAGAGAATAGTTCCTAGCCATATCAGCCTAGAAAATCGCAACTTTACATTTTCCGTCGGTCTTAGTGCACGATGTAACTACAGAAGAGTCAAGTTTTAAATAGGAAAAATATCGAAACTCTTTGGTCATTTTTTTTTTTTTAATGCTAATGGTCTTGTCCACTTCAATGATGTATGCTAAGCTATGCTAAAAGTGGTACCGCCAGAACCGGAGATCGGCTGAATGGATTCAAAAACGGTAAAACTCAACAGTTTAACTCTGGGGGAGTTGTAAAATGAGCCTATTTCCCAAAAAAGTGGAGTATCCCTTTAATATCAGCAATCAGACATTCGCATTCGGGCAGGATTAGATTTCTCCGAGGGCCATTGAAGGTAATGTGAGGTTGTGTGCGAAAAACACGGACATGGACCATTTGGACAGGATTGAAATCACAAAATACGCCTGTGAAACACGTCCTCCGTCTGAATAGGGCTCGAGAAACACTTGGCATTTTGAACAGGAAAGTGCTGCATCACAGAGCAGATTGTGTTGAATCTTGCCTAAAGTGTGTGTCCGAAAGAGAATGAGATGCTGTTTGTGTGCCACATCACAGTCTATAGTCATTCTCCCGGTCTCTTCTTCTCTCCAGAGGTCTGCGCTGACATTGCAGTTGGTGTTTTTTGATGGAGAGGAGGCCTTTGAGGAATGGACAGACACCGACTCTCTCTACGGTTCTCGTCATCTGGCTGAACTGATGGCTCGTTCCCCTCACCCTTCTGGAGCCACCAAAACCACTCTACTCCAGGCAGTGGTGAGGCTGTGGGCCACTCACCACACACATATATATATATATATATATATATATATATATATATATATATATTGCTGTATGATTAATGGTAAAGAATGTTAACGGATAAGAGGTTTTTAGTTCAAAGTATTGTCCAATTGAATACTTTTTAATTCCCTTTTTATATTTAAAGACCTGCTCATAACTTTAAAACATCCGTCAATACATTGGATACATCAGCTATACATTTTTTTTCATACATATACGATAAATTAGAACATAATTCCAGATGCTTCTACACAAACACTTTGTTTTTGCTGAAAGTAAATAACCTATTATTTAAGAATAATAATATATAATGATAAATTATAAACCAATTTATTTTAATATTAAGTTTCTACAGGATTCAGTTGGCTCCTCCGCAAAAGCACAAAGCATCGAATATTTAACAATATTATTTAATTGTATTATGTTTATTATTTATTTTTACTTTACAGTAGATGTTGTATTTTAATTTTTGTTTAACTAATTGTTAACTAGTTAAACCCTACACCCAATGAGGGAAATGTAAAAAAACAAACAAACAAAAAAAAAAACTGCTAAATTGGTTTATTATTTTTTTAATATTATTAATATTAAAAATTGCATATGCATATTTTTTTTTTTTTTTTAAACTGTATTTTCTTCCAGGATCTGTTAGTCCTGCTGGATCTGCTTGGTGGCCCAGAACCATTGATTGTCAATCACTTTGATAACACAGCAAGATGGTTTGACCGACTCATCGCTGCAGGTATAAAAACAACCCAGATTGGGTTTCTACCTACAGACACATGACCTCTACGGTCAGCAATCCTCTCTGTTTCTCTTTCAGAGAAGAGACTCCACAAACAGGGCTTGTTGACATCTCATCCATCAGAACAGAGTTACTTCAGGAAGGATTTTTACCTTGGCCCAGTGCAGGATGACCACGTTCCATTCTTAAACAGAGGTATTGAAACACTATACACTAATGTTCACAGATTTTTTTTCTATTTAAGAAATTCATATTTTTATTTCAGAGAGGATGCATTAAAGGGGTCATGACATGCGAAATCAATTGTGCCTTGATCTTTTGACATATAAGAGGTCTTTGTACCATTAAAACACCCTGCAAGTTTCAGAGCTTAAAACATCCTCCTCATTATAAACAAAGCGATTATTTTATCTAGCTCCAAAAACGTCTCGTTTGATATTGCGGGATCTGTGCCATCACATGGGCAAACATTTACATATGACCACCTCCAGAGCAAGAAATTGCTGAATAGTTAAAGATCATTGCACCATAGGCCCCGCCCACTGGCGGTCAGTCGCTTGACATTCCTACACTGGATGTGAACGTCACGTCAGAAGCAAATAAAGCCCATTAAAGAAGCCGCGCCTTAAAAACGGATCATTTAAGTGACCCCTTTAAATTGATCACGTGACGGTAAAGACATTTATAATATTACAAAAGATTATCAAATAAATTCTGTTCTTTCTATTCATCAAAGAATCATGAAAAAAGTATAGTGGTTTTAAAGGGTAAGTTGTCCCAAAAATGAAAATTCTGTCAGTAATTACTCTTCCTCATGTTGTTCAACCCCGTAAGACTTTCGTTCATCTTCGGGACACAAATTTTTGATTAAATCTGAGAGCTGGATCACTCCTCCATAGGCTTCTTAAGGGATCGAAACTGGCCGGCCCAAAAGTTATGAAAGACATCGTTAAAATAGTCCGAGTGACTACAGTGGCTCAATCTTAAGTTTATCAAGCGACGAGAATACTTTCTGTGCGCAAAAATCAAACAAAAATAACGACTTTATTCAACTATTCATTTCCTTCTCTGTTGGCCTCGAGATTTCACGTAGTGAAACTGCGCAACTGTTCTGTGTTGTACGTCAGACGCAGGCTCACTATTGGCCGACGCTGGTCAAGTGTGTGACGTACAACCTAGAAGCTTTGCGCAATATCACTACGTGAAATCTCGAGGCCAACAGAGAAGGAAATGAATAGCTGAATAGTTTTCATTTTGGGGTTAACTATAACCCTTTAACAAAAATATTAACTGTTTTTCATCATTGATAATAATCAGAAATGTTTCTTGAGCATCAAATCAATGGTTTCTGAAGAAGAATCATGTGACGCTGAAGACTGGAGTAATGATGCTGAAAATTCAGCTTTGATCACAGGAATAAATAGCATTTTAAAATATATTTAAATAGAAAACAGTTATTTTAAATTGTACTTGAAAATGTTTCCTGTTTTGATCACATAAACGCAGCCTTTGTTGTGCATAAGAGACTTCTTTTAAAAACATTTACAAATATTTCTGACCCTCAACTTTTGAATGGTAGCGCATTAAATATATATATACACTACCGTTCAAAAGTTTAGGGTCAGTGAGAATTTTATTTTTATTTTTTGGAGGAAAGAAATCAATACTTTTATTTATCAAGGACAGTAAAGACATTTATAATGTTACAAAAGATTCTATTTCAAACAAATGCTGTTCTTTTGAACTTCCTATTCATCAAAGAATCCTAAAAAACAACAAAAAAACTGTACAACTGACAGACCAACAACTGTTTCAACATTGATAATAATAATAAATGTTTCTTGAGCATCAAATCCTCATATTATACTGATTTGTGAAGCATCATTTGACACTGAAGACACTGACACTGGTGATGCTGAAAATTCAGCTTTGATCACAGGAATAAATTACACTTTACTATATATTCACACAGAAAACAGCTGATTTACACTGGAATAATATTTAATACTATAACTGATTTTTGTTCTATTTTTAATCAAATAAGCGCAGCCATGGTTAGCAGAAGAGAATTCTTTTAAAAGTATTTAAAATTGTACCGACCCCAAACTTTTGAACGGTAGTGTATATATATATATATATACACATAATCACAGTTAATGGTTTGTGTGTACCAAACAACTTCAAGCTAATGGATCAAAGGAGTTAATGTTGTCCTGTTTGTGCCCCTGAACCAGGTGTTCCAGTGCTGCACTTGATCCCCACACCGTTCCCTGTTTTCTGGCACACACTGGATGATGTGGAGGAGCGGATGCACAGGCCCACGGTGGAAAACCTCACTAGAATCCTGGCCATCTTTGTGGCGGAGTACCTGAGCCTGTAAACATGCTGTAATGATCATCGTACAGCAGACGTTTACTCACGTGACCACGTGTTCAGCGCAGTTGAATCTGTGATGTAGGAGCTAATAATGATAATATCACAACCACCAAAGAGACACACATGCAGCATAATGATGTGTTTATTTGGAGTCTGAATGGTACATGCTGATGGTGTTCCTATATTTTTCTGCTGAAAAGACTGAGCCATATGTCATAATAGGACAAACACTCATGTTATGGCAGCTGTATAAGCCCTGATGCCATCCTTAAAGACACGGTTACACCTTAACTTTGTGGTAAAAGACTTTATTCTTTTGACTGAGAATAATGAACTAAAAACATCAGTTTTTTAATCATTATTTGCACAGTATGTGCTGATGAACTACATTTGAAATGCTGTTGCATGTTGGGGAAACCACTCTCGGTGCACTTTACAAGAAAGACATTGAGTTTGAAGAACCTGTGAGGAGAATTTCATGAGGCCTGATAGAGAGATCTAATTTTTTACATTCCTTAGTCATTGAGCTGTTACCATTATCAACCAAAAGACCAAACGAAGAGTCTGATGGATATTTGTAATAAACTTAAGGAAACACTGGAACGGAGTCTCTTAAATATTGTTGTTACACTGTTTAATTTGCTGTGACTCAGCACAGATCACAGTCGGCTGCTGTATTGATATGCTACTCTTTGGGACCACAAAAATAAGTTGCAATGAAACGGAAGTAGCGACAGATCTTTTTTTCTGTAGTGTAACATATCCGAGTGAAACGGATGACAGAAAAATAAAAAAACCTAGGACGGGACTTGGTTCAATCCATTGGTTTTTAATTGAAAGTTGGCAGATCTGAATGTGAGCTTGCAGTCAATTGTAAGAAAGAACGGGTTTATGAGGATAAATGAATTGGAATACGTCACCAGATAGAGGTCTGTTTTTGTCACTGGAAGTTGGAGTTAACATTTTGATTAAAAATTATGAGACCAAAGTGTGTTTTTCTTTTTAATATAACCTGCACTGATTAATATTTCACAATAAGATCAATAACATCCTTTAGAAAATAGGGTGAATTTTCATTTCATGCTGACTTAAAAAATGTACAAAGAGGATGATATTTTAGTTTTTGTAGCAATGTAAAAATGTTGTGGAAAAAATGTTAATGTTAATCTTAATTCACTAGTTTCACAAGTAAAATGTACATTTTTTCCTGAACTACAGTATGCACTGGAACTTACAGAACTTTTCAAAAGTTTTCAGTCACACTTTATTTTAATGTGTCCCTGTTATAGTGTATTTAAGTACTGAGTAATATTATGTTTTTACTATAGGGTTAGAGTAGGATAATGGTTTGGTTGAGGGTTAGTTGAATGTAATTGTACATAATTTATAGTTAATACATGTAACAATGACACATTAAAATAAAGTGTTACCAAGTTTTTAAAAGTTACAAAAATAGTCAAATAAAAAAAAATGGCATATGCTGACAGTCGATGCTCTGTTTTGTTAAAGGTGCTGTAAGTGATTTCTGCCAGACTGTCATCCAAACTTCAGAAAGCACAAGCACATAGACACCAGACAGAAACATAGTGTCGGCCCACATCTGGTCCTCATGGATCTGGGCCGACACTATGTTGCTGTCTGGGACGGCTAAAAAGAGTCCGCAGATTCCCCTGACTCAACAGTTCACAGAGGCTAACAGAGTCAGCTGTGATTTCTAAAGACATCTATTTCAGACAGTTTATGTATGTGCAAACACACTTGCAGCACCTTTAAATGACCGAACTTTGCCTTTTGCCCTGTAGTCCACTGCTTTGGTTCAGTAGTGTGCTGGTCCCAGGTGTCTGAGAGGAGGCGGGGGGGCAGAGAGCTGCTGGGAGCAGGAGAACAGTGAGCTGGGGCTTCCCGGAGGAGAGAGATCCTCATCAGAGCTCAGGAACACTCCTGATGATGTTCTGCTGGAGCACAGGATATCAGATCTGAAATATGTCAAACTGGGACCAAATATTAATATGTAAATGCGTTATTGGAGTTAGTGATCTGTGCTGAATCTTTCCGTTTGTGATTCTTCCAGCAGAGGGCAGCATGGAGCCGATGTTAGAGGAAAACAATAGAACACAACACAACAGCTTTCCTTTCTAGGCTCTTTTATCATTTAGAGTAACTAAACCCCTGGTCAGAGCCTGACTCCACCCACTGGCAATATTTGAAAAATGCTGGAAAAGTGGCCGGAGCCCAGCGGAGATAGAGGGGATGAACAACGGATACTCTATCCTGATCGTTTTCAATACTCGCAATTCCAACTCCTGACTCGCTACAGTGGTTTATGGTTTTGACGAAACAAGATGGTTTTTATACTGCCATGGGCGTGGTAGCTCGTACCAAGGGCGTGGTAAGCTGAAACCTGCTTACGTCAGCTCTCACCGCTACCGTCACGAACTACCGCAAACATCCAATAGGAAAATTCAACTGCAGTAGCCACCGTTCAACCTGAAGAGGGCAGCACTCAGACGTTTTTAACACATATATTGTAAACACTTTATACCCAAATGTCAAAAAGTTACTCGAATCAATGAAAAGCACTAATAAAGCCCCAGTCTTACAGATCATTAACTAAAAAAAGTTGGTTTAGTGTTTAGTTACCCTTTAAGGCAGAGGTTCTCAATCATTTGAAGTCAAAGGCCCCATTACTTTTCCAGTTTTCGAGAAAGGTTTTTAAAAAGAAAAATCTATAGAAATGCCACTAGAGTTTTAAGATTTGATACTTTTCCAGACCTAGAAATCATACTGTTAAAATTAGGGTAATTCATAAATCCAGTGGAAACCCTGAAATTGTTGTTGAAAGGGGTAAATAATTAAATACATTGGTTTTCAGTTGTTTTAGCTCAATGTAATGCTTTGTCTTATTTTAAGTTCGTCACAAAAAATAAAAAATCGGTCGCCATTTATTTACTCACTCTCAAGTTGTTCTAAACCTGTATGAATTTTTCTTCTGCTGAACACAAAAGATATTTTGAAATATGTTGTGACGGGACCCCATTGACTTTCATAGTATTTTTTTTTTTTCAACTGGTTACTCATATTCTTCAAAATATCTTCATTTGTGTTCAGCAGAAGAAAGAAATGCATGCATGTTTGGAACAACTTGAAGTTGAGTAAATGATGACAGAATTTTAATTTTTGGATGAACTATCCCTTTAAGTCCCTCTTGAGATCCCCTAGTTGAGAAGAACCACTGGTCTAAAGTCAAACTTTTCGTAGTGCTTAGTAAGAGTGTGTCAGCAGGGATAAACTATGTTGCCGGCTCCTCGTGTGTGTGTAAAGTGAGGGAGTTTCTCTTACTCTTGTCGGCTGGTCGCAGCTCTGTCCCGCTGTCGCCGGTTCTTGAACCAGTTGCTGACTTGTGTAGCGGTGAGTCCAGTGACTGCAGCCAGATCTCGCTTCTCTCTCGGCGAGGGGTAAGGCTTTCTGCAGTACCACTCTCTCAACACACTGCGAGACTTCTCCTGCGAGCAGAGGGGGGCAATAAAACCTCTTGAAATCTCTCCTAAACAGAAGCAAAATTATTTTGAGACTAAAGCAAAAAACGTACATCTATTGTGTTTAGCCTTCTGATGCTGTTCGCGTGTCGCTCAAAAATGACCAATTTTTTTCCCCCCAATGAAATGATTCCTATTCCAATTTGATAACGTTTTTCATTCAATATTTTGTATTTTTAGGGGATTCTGTGGTACTAAATTATATCTGCAGTAGTTATAATCAATGTTTTAACTTTTTAAGCATTGGCTTGAAAATGAAATGTCCAACTTAAACTGTCATAAATCTTGAATGCTTTGGCGACCTAAGGTTGGTCTCTTTTTAAAGAAGACACTTGGCAGATTATCGCTGAAGTGAAAATAAAAAAGTGAGCTTGAACAAAGTTATAAAATGTTACATTTATTGTTATAAAAAAATGCCAAAAAATAGCATTTTCAATTTAATTATTTATTTGAAATATATATTTTCCAAAACACGCTTTACTCTAAAACTGAAAGAAAATCAAAGCCATAAATCTAAACAAGCTGTGTTCCAAATTGTAGGTTGATATCTCAAAAAAAGTAATAGTTTGGGCCGCAGGACAGCATTGGAAATGATTAATTCCCAATCCCAATCATTTCCAATGCTGTCATTTTTTTTTTTACCACAAACAATACAAGTGTGACTTTTTTTCAGAACCATTTAACCTTTTCGAATCATGCCAGTGCCAAAACCTTTACCAAGTTTCGTAGCATTCCGATAAAGTAAAATATTCTGCAAAAAAAGAAAAGAAAAAACGAAACGTAACATTTTGCACCAGAGGGTTAAACCAGTGTGCCACTACGGTCACCGTGATTTTGCCAAGTAAGACATGGTCCTGGATCAACATTCCTGTCCCAAAATGTAGTCCTTACCCAATCCCTCCCCCTAAACCTAACCCTACCCATAACTTTTCCCTAAAATCAGAGGGCAATGAAAGGTGAATAGCACTGATGTTTAAGTACTTAAAGGGGTCATATAATGGTACATGCACTTTTTCAAGTTGATTGTACTGAAATGTGTGTTGGCAGTGCCTGTACACAACCATCATATAATGATAAAAATCCATCCAGTGGTTTTGTTTTAATCTCCTTATATGTTTTCCCCTGCCTCAAATTGAGCCGTTCGTTTTTGTGACGTCAATAAAACGGACGCCCCTCCCGCGATTGTTGATTGACAGCAGTAATTCAACACAGACCCGCCCTCGCTCGTCCTGTCAATCATAGTCCGCGCGGACCGGCGCGGTCATTGTTGATATGCTGGAGCTGTCTATGAGCAGAATGCCGTCTAAGCGATTGTGGTGTTCTGTTCTTGGGTGTAATAACGAACACAGCAGTCATTTTAATGTTCCTAAATCCGAACCGCTGAAGACGCAGTGGCTGAGTTTGTTTTCGAAGGGAATATTCCCCACGAGCAACGTCAATGCTTTCATATTTGCCGAATCATTTCTCAGTGGACTGCTTTATAAACGAGGATCAGTGTAAAGCTGGTTTTGCTGAGAAGCTGCACCTGAATAAAGGATCGGAACCTATTCGTGTTCCTGCTGAACCTTCAGAAGAACTAAAGTGAGTGTAACGTTTTATTAATCTTTATATTAATATTTATATTAATCTTTGCAAATCGCCAGCTGCACGCTTCACGATGAATGCGTCTAAGGTTTACACTCAGGGTACATTACAGCATGTTTTCTATGTACAACGTTCTCAATATAATTCATAATCCCACGTTTATAATGAACAACGCGTGGTTATTGTGTTACAAACGGTATGCGCAGAACAGAGAGGCGGAGTCAGCAAAGCTCATGATCATTTAAAGGCATATGCACTGAAACGGCGTGCTGAAAACAGAGCTGTTTTTGACCAGGTAAAATAAGTGTTTTCTTACAATACTAATGAGAATTTTTAATTAAAGTATATTACAAACTTTTAATTTAGACCCTAAAGAATCATATTAGCTTGTACAAAAATGGCATTATATGACCCCTTTAACCCTGGTTCTAAGCCTAAACTTGACATAAACTGTAAACTTGTCCCTCAAATCTGATTGGTTGATTGGAAAGTTGATCCAGGATCAACAAAGATGTTGATCCAGGAACATTTGGTACTTGGTGAAATCACATTCACCGTGCTACTACACCAACAGACTTGAAAACCTTGAAGCAGTAGCTGGTCTCTTCTCCATCCCAGATGGTACGTGGAAGAGGAAACTTGCGACGAATGCGGTACTTCCCCACGGCTCCAAGAGGGCGTCCCCGCTGAAGTTCAGCCTCCATGTAGTGAGCGCGGAGCCAGAGCTGTTGGAGGAGAGGGTGACTGCGCAGCGAGAACACGTTCCCCTCTAACAGGGCGTACAGCTCAGAGAAACGGCAGTGGTGGAAGGCCACCGCAGCCCTCGCCTTCAGCACGCTCTCCTGACTCTGGGCCATGGACACATACACGTGGGACGAAGTGGAAACAGAAGGTAAAGAGCATAAGAAAGAGGACAAGCGATCCATGCTTCCACTCTGGAGAAGAACCTCACAAACACACGCCACCTGCTCTGGGGAGAAGCACATCGCCATGATCCAACCAAGGATACTGAGGAATTGTTCTGCAAAACAAGTTGTAAAATGTCCCACTACATTACATCTACACGACAGCAAGCTTTACAAGATTACAGAAACGTGCAGAAGAAGTGTGCAAAACCAAAGTACCTTCTGATGTGAATGCAGAGTAGAAACTCTCAGGTGAAGGAGTTCTCACAATAGTCCTTTTTGTTGTCCGGTGTGAACAAAACGACATAAAAAGCCTGCACTTATTGTTTGCCAATAAGTGCAGCTGATGAGTGTGTCGGATTTTTTGTTTTAGCAGGTTTTACCTTCAGCCACAAAGACCCGCCCAGACAACTTGGTACATGCAGGTAACCGGAGAGCATAGGGGTTAAAAAAACAGACTGGCACCAACACACACACACAGACCTATCAGACTAAGTGTTGTTTGTATTTGTATCAATTACCTGGGGGAAATGTCAGGTGCACAATGGACCTTATTTAAATGTGAAGGCAATCTTATTTTCTAATCAAATCATGGTGGCAGCATTTGCTAGACATTTGGTTAGACATTGCATTGTAGAAATAAATGTTTATCTATCTTTCTATCTATCTAATGCATATGCACGAATACACATTTGAGTAATGATATGAAGAAAGTGTGTTGGTTACCTTCTAGAAGGAAAACAATATATTTTTATGTCGCTGTACTAAGACAAAGGCGTTTCAGTAAAAGTGCCTCTAAAAACCATGTAACTTTAGATTCATTTTAAACAAAGAGCAGTCATGTATCATTATATATGTTTATTACATATCACAATGAAATGGAATATAAAAAATAAAATAACTATTCGATACAAAAACACCTCTGTAAAAAGAGACGTGGTTTACAATAAGGACAAGAACTCCCTTTGAAATTATCCACAAAAAAAAAGTCTTTGGTTTGATCAGCTGCATATTTTTCTGTTTGCACATGAATGTGAACCGAAAGTATTAAAACGTGAACAGAACGAACAAATAGAACTCTACTGACTAAAATACATGTGCATTAACATAATAATCATTACATTCTGGAAGAGTAATAGCAATACTCAAGAACAAACACATATACACGCACACATTCCCTTACTTTCCAAAAAAGTTGAAACATTGTCCAGGTGCTTGGGGGGAACTTTGGCAAGTCAATATAACATCATTCTATGTAACATAAATGTGAAATAGATGCTACACAAAGCAAAAACTCACACATAGGAGTGTAGACCTAAGCTACAACGAGGGAAACAGCTTTAAGGTTATCGTAAAATGACCCAAAAAAAATGATTGGTAAATGCATTAAATATTGTTAAAAACAAAAACAGACATAAAAATACAGGTATACTTTGGGCTAGAGTTCAACACAGGTTGACTACTGCCCACCAAGGAAAAACATCAAAATCTCACAGGCCTAATATTCCACAAAAGCCTTAAATGTACAGTTGAATGGTTTAAATATAGCACACAATCTTGTAGGGCCAGAAATAAAATGTAAATGCTTCACAAATAAACTTTCAAATGTGCAAAACATACAGAGCTGATCTGCATTAAGCAAATCAGTTCTGTAAAAAAAAAAAAAAGTCATACTTGTAGATTTGAACCACTAAACTGCATTTGATTAAAATTAGATGAATTTTAAAAAAACAACCACAGACATTTCCTGTAGCTATGTGGAAATCCTAGAATTAAAATATTTGTTTCAAAATATAAAAATAGGAAAAACGGGACAAATGAAAAACATGGAGAGAAAAAAAGTTTCACTGTACATGTACATTGTGGATCTGTAGTGTAAGAAGTGGCTGTTTTTAACAGTAAACAAATCTTAGGGTTCAGTTATCATGCAGAACAGTTGCATTGACTAATATTCAGTACTTCAGTACAACTCCCTTCAAACACTAGAGCCTACATACGTTTATACACAGTTTCATGGTAATGAGCTGGAATGCTTGAGTAAGCTCAATGGTTTATCTACGGAAAACAATGTCAATTATCTGTCATATCAAAGCGTACAGGATTTCCTTGGTCAGCGTAGTGCACCATTATGAACTTATTGTATACAAAAGAATATAAAACAACAAAAATGGTAAGAGTGCTTCACTACGTGTCCGAAGTATGTCCAAGCATTTCAGTAGTACCTCATTGCAGTACACGAGATCCAGGGGGCGGAGTTAGATCCAGATCTAAGGGGTGGAGATGGGTAGGATTAGGGGTGGGTTTAGGGATCAGGGGGCGGAGATGGGTAGGATTAGGGGTTGGTTTAGGGATCAGGGGGCGGAGATGGGTAGGATTAGGGGTTGTTTTAGGGATCAGGGGGCGGAGATGGGTAGGATTAGGGGTTGGTTTAGGGATCAGGGGGTGGAGATGGGTAGGATTAGGGGTGGGTTTAGGATCAGGGGGCGGAGATGGGTAGGATTAGGGGTGGGTTTAGGGATCAGGGGGTGGAGATGGGTAGGATTAGGGGTGGGTTTAGGGATCAGGGGGTGGAGATGGGTAAGATTAGGGGTTAGGGTTAGGGATCAGGGGGTGGAGATGGGTAGGATTAGGGGTGGGGTTAGGGATCAGGGGGTGGAGATGGGTAGGATTAGGGGTGGGTTTAGGGATCAGGGGGCGGAGATGGGTAGGATTAGGGGTGGGTTTAGGGATCAGGGGGTGGAGATGGGTAGGATTAGGGGTTGGTTTAGGGATCAGGGGGCGGAGATGGGTAGGATTAGGGGTTGGTTTAGGGATCAGGGGGTGGAGATGGGTAGGATTAGGGGTGGGTTTAGGATCAGGGGGCGGAGATGGGTAGGATTAGGGGTGGGGTTAGGGATCAGGGGGTGGAGATGGGTAGGATTAGGGGTGGGTTTAGGGATCAGGGGGCGGAGATGGGTAGGATTAGGGGTGGGTTTAGGGATCAGGGGGTGGAGATGGGTAGGATTAGGGGTTAGGGTTAGGGATCAGGGGGTGGAGATGGGTAGGATTAGGTATATGTAAGGTGGGAGGAGTTGGATCTGGATTCAACTCCTCCCCCTGGATTTCGTGTTCTGCAGTGAGGACCATCTTAAGCATTTTGCCATCCACAAATCTGATACATGCACCATCCATTCACCAAGGTAAAGAAAAGGAATTAAAACAGCACCTGAACCAAGCTGTTGCATGTAGTTTATCCAATGCAGTTGTGACAGGCACATTTAAAGGTTAGTGTCTTCCACCCAGTGCTGTGCGTTTATTGAACCGTTGTATCGGATTTCCTTCTCCCAGTGCAGGGTGCTGCCGGTGCATCTATGGATTTTTATGAGCCACCTGTACAGGGGGTTTGTAGTAAAAGCTCCCAATGCCTAGCTCATGTTCAGACCCATTTCACTCCAGGATAGCAATAAAGATGTATTTACCTCCATTACATTGTCTCTAGGAGGGAAACCTAATATGACTTTCATGCTTAAATGATAAAAGTTCTGTTCAGAGTCATTTTATCTATAAAAATGAGAAGTAACAAAAATGTAAGGCACAATAGAAGGTATTCCCGCATGCTCTTCACTCCCAGATAAAACAATCTTGATTGCCTTGTACACATTAGTGCCTTTTTACCAGCCATGGTAGCCCTTGTAACAAGCCACAAGCTCTGTTTTATCAAAATCAGGGCTAACATGTTACTCAAACTTAAATTTCTAGAGGTGAATATTGGTTATACAAATGTCATCTCTGACAAACGGCAGTGCCTTTAACTCTACTGAAATTAAAATCTCTAGTCATGCCCTTGCTTAATACATTGTTTTCACAAATGAATTCAAGATATATGAGAGAGGTTCTTTTCAACAACTTAGTTATTAGATTGAATACTTCCACTATTTAAGCCTTAACCTACACAAGGAAAAGTGAGGAAAGACTCGTAAATCATAGTTGCTCTCGCTTCAGGGATATGGATGAATGCAACTCTAGCGAGGCTGAGATTTAACACGAACTGCATCTAGTAATTACAAGCCCAGGTCATCATCCACAGGGACAGACTGCAGTTGTGTAAGAATTTTCGAGTCCCCGTCCATGTCCTCCACTTCATCCAGCTGAGAATCTCTCTCTACGTCCTCACCCGGAGGAGGAGTGCCCAACAGGAGGGACTCTCCTCCTGGCAGGCCCAACAAAGCGGGGTCCTCTGGAAGATCCCCTTTCCCACGCATGTCAAATAATGTCAGACCAGCAGAGGAAGACAGTGGGACAGGGCTCCAGACCGGCTGGGAAAGGTGGGGCCCAGATGCCACACCGCTACAGATTGGACTGAGTGGCAGCATGGTATCAGGGCTAAGGGTCTGCTGGGATTGTAGGATGCCTGTAGGAGTGGGAGTGCTGGATGAGTCTGGGGTGTTCGGAGAGGCTCCTGGGGTTGGGTTGGCAATGGTCCCTGGCTCAGGGCTGCAGTAAAGTGTAGAGGACCCAACAAATCCCAAAGGAGATGGTTGTAGTGAATTTAAGGTTTGAGCCGTGAGTAAAGGTGCTGGTTGATTCTCGAGTGGATGTACAGCTGAGGTTTGAGGATCAAAGGTGCTGTTGCTTGATACCAAATTGTCTGGGACGGACTTGACAGGCATGCTGGCAAACTGGATGCCAGCTGGGATAGTAAGGATGAGTTTGCCGTTTTGAACACTTAGGATGGGACTGCCCCCGATGCCACCGGCTAAGAGGAAGTTGCCTGGACACAAAAGCAGAGTAAAGACATCTCAATACAGAACAAAAAAACCCCCACATATTTTCCACTACTAGTGAAATTAACATATGTAACATATGTGACATACCTGGAGAGGCAGACGGAAGCTGAATCACCCCAGAGTTGAGAAGCTGAACACCCGGGATGGTTCCAGTAGGGACACTCTGAGGAGGCCCTATTGGGCTAAGGCGTATCGGTCCCTGGGCAACACTCAATCCTGTTCCAGCTCCAGATGTCAAAATCTGAAAAGCACCTCCTGGGGACGGGATGGAAAGAGATGGTGTTGCTGGGACCACCTGAGGGAAGGAAAGGGTTCCAGTTGGAGTTCCCGCAATAGATGTCACAGGCATAAGTTGAGGCAGTGACAGGGGGACCAGCTGAGGTTGGCCTAAGTCTTTGGGTTGGGATATGGGAACAACTTGAGTCGGGGAGGAGATGGGAATGACTTGCGTCCCCATAGAGGTCTGTATCTGTTGAAGGGTGGCTGAAGTAGATTCATCTCCTAGCTGAGGTGTAAGCACTTGTGTAACATGTCCATCAGCCATCTGGGGGAGCGATAAAGCACTACTGGTGATTAGTGTGGTGGAGCCATTTTGATGCTGAGCTTGAGCAAATCTTGGACCAATGTGCAAGGTTTGGGTCTGAAACTGAGAAATGGAGACTTGGGGTAATTGTGGATTGACCGGGGAGACTGGAACAAGCTGGGGGCAAGATGACACTGTGGCTCCAGATGTAGGCTGCATCAGTTGAGAAACTGGAACGCCCTGTATCGATGGTACAACCTGGGGTAAAGACAGCACCTGAGGGCTGGAGACAGAGCTGCAAGTTGGTGAGTGAGGGTCAGCCTTTCCTAATACAACAATTTCCGGTGGATGTGTTGGCTGTAATGGCACCATGGGACTGGAGATGACTGAACTCACACAGCCAGTTGTTGATGCAGAAATACGATTTGGGGCCAGTATCACCGAAGGAAGAGACGTGGGAGAGATGACAGAAGTAGAGATGGTGGACGAGGACATAGAGTTTGTAGGCACTGACTGATTTTTATCAGGATTCTTCAAGGCTTCTGGAAAACTGATGAAATCCAGCGGAGAAATATTGCTGCTGGCTGTTTTGGCGTCCTCGCTAAGAGAGAGAGGTATTGTGCTGGTTAGATTGGCTTGTGGATTCAGAACCACAGTGGGCAGGCTGCCTTGGGCCTCCATATCAATGATGCCTCTTTCATCTTTGGAGATTACTTGAGCCCCATTAAGTAGCAATGGTGCATTAGCTGTAACAGGACTCAGAGTGACCGTGTGGCCATCGCTCAGTGTCAACCCATTAATGATGACCCCGGTTCCTGCCCCTGAGAGTATAGGGCTCCCATTGAGCAGCAGTGGATGAGAGCTTGTGAGGAATCCCCCGGTGCTGTTGAGAATAAGCTGACCAGTACTGCAAGGAGCACTAGTGAGGGATATAAGAGAAGCATTGGAGCTGCCTGTCTCTAGAGCAGCAGGTTTGTCAGTGATATCCTCCAGATCTCCTTTGCTGGCTTCATCTTCTGTGCTGTGGTTCCCATCAGATTCACTTAAGAAGAGACAGAAATATTACATTTGGTCAAACAGTCTTAATGTAGTTTCGATCAATGTCTACCATCAATCTCCAATCCTCAAAAACTTTTTGACATCAGTATTAATGGAGGAGAAACCTAAATTAATTAAAAACCAGAACCAGTAAAGCTTGTGGTCTGACAAAAAAAACCCTAGATTACTTCTACCGCTTTTAATTTATTCCAGACATCACTTGTTAACTTAAAAACAGTGCCAAACACACACACACAAAAAAGAACAACGAAATATATGATTTTTCAGATAATCACCAGTTGTCAACTGATATATCGCCAAGGTTGAAATATTGGCATCGGCCAATTCGTTTTTCTTAGTTTTTTGGCAGATGTGTCAGAAGCGGCACTTTTATACATCATAAAACGTGTACTCAGTGCGTAACGGTCTGTCCGTGTGAACTGAATGCGGACAGGAGAGTTCAGCTGTCACTGGACAATCGCCAAACTTTAAACCCTTGATTTCAAACCTATGCTGCGCTATATCCAGTTGCCCACTGCCATATTCATGTCATTTTCACTGTGTGCTGTATGTAAAATGAGTTACCTTGTCTTTATTTGAAAAAAATATGAGTTGGTTAGTGTTTACTTTCTTTTTATTCATATATTTTTAACAATTTCTTTATTTGTGAAAATAATGTAAAAGTATTTCAGAATCAAGAAGTTCTAATTTATTAATTAAGTCAAATAAATTATAAATATAACCGCCTTATATGGGCCATCGGCCACCCTGTTCTCTAAAATTTCGGCATCAGCAATACATTTAAAAAAAAAAATCAATATCCGTCAACCACTAATTATCACCCATTGATTTTATGGTTAAAACATATGAGGACCCTTATCTTTAGAGGGAAGTCTCTTATAAATACTTTGGTATCTGGCTTGATGATAAATTGACTTTTGGTATTCATATTGATAGACCAAGGTTAAGTTTTTATTTATTATTAAAAAAGTGTTTTTTATTGCTAGAAATAGATTAGTCCAGAGTACCTTCTTGTCAGTATTGGACTAGAGTGATGTAATTTATTATGCATTGCATGCACCTTTATTTTACTGCATGCAATCTATCATTCTGCTTTACAAATCGTAACTGGTGCAAGTGCTTGTACACATCTTTGTAATTTATATGAAATGACACCGTGGACTTCACTCTGCTTGAGGAGGAAAAATCAGGTTAAATTTTATTTAAAAGCTTTACTGGGCAAGTTACATATCTATTTTGCTTACTATTGCTAGCATATATAGAACCAGATCAACAGAAAACTTTTACTTAAGACCATTTTCCTGCACAGAGCTTGGTAGATCTGTCTTTACCAATCATACTATCATGTAAGAGTGGAATGAGCTTCAAGGTAAACTACTAAACATGGAATCTGTACCATCTCTTGATCTGTTAAAAAAATACTTTAAAAAATGTTTTTATAGAACAATGCATTTAATATTAGCATTATGATTTCCATTGTTTTTTTTAGTTCTTGGTATGTTTTGAGTTTGTTTAAAGTGTGGTTTTCATGTACTTTTGTATTTTTATGTGAATTTTCATTCTTTTGAAGATTGAGTGTATTTTTTTGCATTATATTATGTTATCTTGAAAATGTGCATTTGCACAACATGTGGTTTTAGGGAACAAAACAGCAGTTTATTAAAAGAGATTGAAAATAGTTTCTCTATAGCCCTAGTTGAAAACGAATATAATAATAAACACTACACTGTCTGACATGTTGTTATCTACTATCTTTGTGTGGCTTCTGCAATTACTTACTTCTGCTTTAAATCTTAATGTAGGATATATATATATATGTGTATGTGTGTGTGTGTGTCCTCAATGTCCTCTTCTTCCTGAGATTTAACAGTCTATGGACAGAAAGTCATTGTGGTGCAGAGTTTCAGGAAACTGGAGCCACTCCTGCGCCCCTATCTCACATTTCACAACAAAGCAACATGCTTTCAGCCTTGTTTTCTAAGATCTCCATGTCATTTTCACATGTAAACACATCAGTTAACAATGATAGAGCAAGACATATATATTTTTTTTTCCACAGCTGCATCACCCAAACAATAAAATAGGCCTGCATGAAGAGTATACAGTAAAGTAAGAAAGTAACAAGACTGGGCAGTGGGCACTCAATATTCACACCCTCGTCCTAGTGTAAACCTCCCACACAATAGAGATTTGTTTACAGCTCTTTTCTCTCAGTTTGGCTCAAGAATGTCTCTCTTGGGCCTGAAAGAAAGCCCTGTATTCGAGGTGCAATGCACTTACCTTTTGCTGTTGGTGCCGGACGGGGTCCGGTCCCTCTGTCGGCGATTCTTGAACCAGTTGCTCACTTGAGTCAAAGAAAGTCCGGTAACTTTGGCTAAATTCTTCTTCTCGACCGGAGTGGGATACCTGTTGATCTTGTAGCATTCCTTCAGAGCGTTGCGCGACTTCTCCTTGAAGCAGTACACGGTCTCCTCTCCGTCCCAAATGGTTTTGGGCAAAGGAAACTTTTTGCGCAGTCGATATTTGTCAACGGCGCCCAGACTGCGACCCCGGGTCCTCTCAGCCTCCTTGTAGCGCGCCTTCAAGTAGAGGTCTTGAAGGAACCCATGGTTACTCGGGTGGAAGTCATGACTGTCTAGGATGGCGTACAATTCTTTGAATTCCTCCCGGTGAAAAGCGACCAGAGCCTGGGCCTTCAGCAGGGTCTCGTTGCCACGTAGCAGATCTGCCGAAGGAGGGATGGTGGCGAGGAATCTCCACAGGCGATCCACATTGCCCGCTTGCAGGAGCGCTTCGCACAGACACGCGACTTGATCGGTGGAAAAACTGAGCGCCGAGTTCTGGAAGCTTTGGAGCAGTTGTTCCGAAACTTCGTCCGGATCCGGATCTGGATCCGTCTCCTCTTTCACTTTAGCTTCGTCTTGCGTGGACTCCTTCGGGCCGTTTTCAGTTTGTTCTGAGGACTCCAAAGACAAGGAAGCCATTTTTATTTTAACTTTTTTCCTTCAAGTTCCTCCTCCCTCCCCTTCTGTGTGTCTCTCTCTCCCCTTCGGTGTGTCTCTCTCTCCCATTCTCCCGTATTCGAGCGAGCGAGCGCCGCTTCAGAACGAGGCGTGCGTGTCACGCCCCTGCGTTTCGTCAACCTCCCCCATCCAGACATCATCATCATCATCATCATCCTCCGCAGGCCTGCTGCTGCTTTACCATTGTGCAAGCCTCACTCTTAGTTTGTGTGTTTGTATACAACTCCTTTCAGACTCACACGTGGGCATGAAGATCTATCTATACATAGGCTACATATTGTCTGATCTCATACCGTAATTGGCTTTAATGAACCCATTGATCTTTAGAAGTTTGATCAGGTCTTTTTATTAATCTAAACTTTTATATATTAAGTAAAACAGGATTAGGCCTACTTTGCTTTAGTGTGTCACTAGGAAAATTCACAGAGACAACAGATGTTGTGAGATGTCCAGCAACAACCAACGTGTGTGTGTGTGTGTGTGTGTGTGTGTGTGTGTGTGTGTGTTCCTGGTAAACCTCACAAAATGTCCACAGACAAAGACGTCAATATCCGAAATCATTGTCCTTGTGTGGACATTTTTTGGCCCCAATGAGGTAAACAGCTTATAAATCATACTAAGTGATGTTTTTGGAAAATGTAAAAATTCAGATAGTTTTCTGTGATGGGTGGGTTTAAGGGTAGGGTTAGTGTACGGGGAGAGAATATACAGTGTGTACAGTATAAAAATCATTATATGGAAAGTCCCCATAGAACATGGAAACGTGTGTGTTTTAAAACTTTGCATGCTGGATGGACAGGGAGAGTAAGGGTTTAAATGTGAAAGAGGACACGCACACCTGGAAGCAGAAGGACAGAATGAGATGAAGCAGAGCTCTGTACCTCCATATCATCCCTTTGCAAGAATGTAAACTTTGTTTTCAGGAAGGCGGGACTGAGATCAGGCTGTAGTCTGTCACCCCCATCCTACAACTGTTGATCCTCTCAGCCCAAACCCCCTCAGCCTTTGATCTTCTGCCTGTGCACACTTGCCTTTAGACGTAACCAGTCATGTTTCGCAGTAAAGAACTCTGCAAATAAGTAGCAGTTTTCCAAATCACTTTATTTGCCACGGTGGAGTCAAAATTACATTTGCCTTGGGTTTCAGGGTATCATGTCTTATATTCGTGTATAAACACAACTGTATACAGCTTTTGTATATCAGCTCTGAAAGTATTTCAACAAAATTTAAAATAAAGTCCAACTAACATTAGTAATGGATTAACTAACAATGAGAAATATATTTAGTTAGTAGTTAATGAAAAAATACAACTGTTCATTAATAGTTCATGTTAGCTCAGGTCAATTAAATAATATTTACTAAGATCACATACCATAATAAAGATCAATAAATGCTTTAGATTTTTTTTTCCACTGTTCATGTTAAGTGATGTTGTTAAAAAATGGTACGATTTTAAAGAAAGTTTAACATTGACAGTAGGCCTACTTATTGCGTTGTCTAGTCACAATCCCAGTAGTGAAAAGTATTTTTTTTTTTTTTACTTGCATAAAATGGTAAACCTGATTTCACCAAGTGCAACATGTTCCTGGATAAACATCTGTGTTGATCCTAGAATAACATTCCAATCAACCAATCAGATCCGAGGGGCAAGTTTGCAGTTTATGTCAACTTTATTCTTACAAACCAGGGTTAGGTGCTTCTACATCAGTGTTATTCACTTATTTCCCTCTGTTTTTAGGGATAACTTACGGGTAGGACTACATTTTTGGACAGGAATGTTGTTCCAGGTTCAACAAAATAGTTGATCCAGTAACATGTCTTACTTGGCAAAATCACGTGACCTGTTTTGCACATGAACTGTTGTATTTCAGATGTTCCTAGCACCTATTTTAATTTTACTATTAGCTTTTAATTAGCTTTTCCTTATTTCTTCGTTATTACAATAGTTAGGCAACTACTATCTATCCAGTACTTAATATCCCAAAACCAGTAGCCGAACGTTGATTTTACCAGTTACAAAAGCAGTTTAGTTGTCATATGTTATAACTAGTCAGAATGGCTACTTTATATTTCAGTAAGAATAAAATTCTGTAAAATGGCTGGAGAATTGATTTACTGACGGATGTCGTCCTTTTCAGGAGTTTCTGAAACTCTAGCAGCATCGTGTGGTACACATTGGCACTACAGACATTTGTGTTTTCTGGCAGATTTGGGAGCGGTCTGCTTCAACAAAACAAACAGTGATTGGATAATAAAAGGTTTCACTGAGCAGCCCGATTCGACAGAGTGCGTTTTACCCGCCCACTGAAAGACTCGTAACGGATTGCCATTGGTTGAATTCAAAAGCCCGCCCAATTACCGTTTTTTTATTGGCTCAAACGTAAATATGGGTGGGCAGAATCTTCCAGAATCTAGCGGTGTGGTCTGTGACGGAAGATATTTTCCTAATAGCTAAAACAAAGAAGTATATAATAGTGTTTGGGGTTTAAGTTCTGAATACAGGCGTTAAAATATTGGATCGCGTGTAACTGATGATATCTGAAGCTGACTGAAGCAGTAAATAAAACGAAGATCTTGTCACGTGAGTGAGTGCATGTAAATATTGGCTAACGTTAACTTAGCCGTAGCAAAACCAAGCTTTCAGTGGAAGACATGACACGATAACTGTTCTGTCCAGACATTGCTGCATGAATACTAAACACACATTTGATTTTCAGCTCGACCACACACACCAGCACCAGACTTTGCTCAGTAACCGAAGATGGACGGGAGTGTGACAGTCATCAGCAACCCCACCGTGTCCGTGCGGGTGACCAGCACCGTCAGCTCCTTCGAGATCAACCGGAGATTCAACCGCGGCTTAACGATCGCAGAGTTTAAGGTGCGGCAGTGCAGATATGCGCCATGTTTTATTATAACCTAGTTTGTAGAAATGTCATACGTCACATTAAGTTACATCTGAAATTGCCTATTACAGGATACAGTTTGTTGGGCTGTGAAGCTTTGTTGGGCTGTGAAGCAAATGCCCACATTTGAGTTAAAAATGACAAAACAGATTTGGTGCGTATTTTCTAAAGCTATGGATGTAATTTGACAACATTGTCAAATCACAGTCAAGAACATCACTCTAGCTTGATTGCTAATATTCAGCATAACAGCATTTGCAATTGTGATATTTTATTATCATTATTATTATTTTGTTGGGTAGAGTGGCTCTGCAACAACAATTGAGTAAAACATGCAGACTGTCCATGATTTTTTTTTAAAAAAGCCACACAGTCAGATAAAATGTGAAAACGTTGTAGCATTAGGGGTAGACATCCATCATAAAAGTAATCCATATGGTTCCAGGGGGTTAATAAAGGTCTCTATGGGAATCATATTGCTGTTTTAGTTTAAGTCTAACTGAACATGTGCATTTGTTTTACAGAGTAAACTTGAGCTGATTGTGGGAACCCCGGCTGCCTGTATGGACCTCGATCTATTCAGCACTTCAGACAAGTTCTTACAGAAGCTAGACAACAATGAAGCCCTGCTCGGCTCCTATCATGTGGATGACGACTGCAGAATACATGTGGGTATCAATTCCTTTCTGACACACCCCATCTACACACAGAGCGAGTGACATTACAAAATTGGAATATGTAGATGATGGGGATGTCAATTTTCACAAATTCCTATGATCGATCAACGATCGATTAATCGTTAGCCTTAAAAGGATAGTTCACTTTGAAATTAATTTTTGGTATGTTTTAGCTTACCTCAAGGGCATCCAAGATGTAGGTGTCTTTGTTTCCGCAGTAGTTTCAATTTTGATATTTTTAGGTCAAACCGTTCTTGTCTGTCAGTCATATAATGCAGGTCTATGGTCACCACCTCAAAGAGCATGCACAGAGAAGTCCAAATTAAACATGATTTAATGACTAGTAAATGTAAGTACACATTGATGGCCTAAGACACGAAACGAGCGGTTTGTGTGAGAAAACGAACAGTATTTATATTGTTTTTACCTCTTGTAAACACAGCCACGTCCAAGTGATCTGAGGGCGCGGGCGCTTCGGTCTGCACAAGCGCCGGAAAGCGCCGGAAGTGATCTCTTGCGCGTGTACTCACTCATACAATTGTTTTATTTATTTATTTTTATTATTTTCTTTTACGACGGTTTAAACATCCCGGATAAGCGCAAATTAGTACCATTTTAATTAGCTGTCTTACCTACAATCTCTGTTCTGTGTAAACAATGAGTAACGTACATGCGAGAGATCCCTTCCGGCGCTTGCCGGAAAAGACCGAAGCGCCAGCGCCCTCAGATCACTTGGACGTGGCTGTGGTTACAAGAGGTAAAAACGATGTAAATACTGTTCGTTTTCTCACACAAACCGCTCGTTTCGTGTCTTAGGCCATCAATGTGTACTTACATTTACGAGTCATTAAATCATGTTTAATTTGGACTTCTCTGTGCATGCTCTTTGAGGTGGACCCCATAGACCTGCATTATATGACTGACAGACAAGAACGGTTTGACCTAAAAATTTTAAAATTAAAACTACTGCGTAAACAAAGACACCTACATCTTGGATGCTCTTGAGGTAAGCTAAAACATACCAAAAATTAATTTCAAAGTGAACTATCCCTTTAATACTGCAATATGCGTCTGCTGCAGTGGCATATGGCCAACAGCATGACCGGGTATGCAAATGCTGCTCAAAAGACTACCTCACCAAATGAATGAGAGGGGTTTTAATCTAAATAAAGGGCTAGTAGGATTGTAAAATGTTTCGATGTGAAAATATAACAACTTAAACAACGTGTCACCAACGCCGTCTCAGATGCGTGCTTGTCAGAATGTGTACGCTCTTCTTGGAACAACGTGCTAAAACGCGATAGTTTAAATATTATTGAACTATTATAAAATAGTGTTCTCATGTAATGTGACAGTCCCAATTATATTATTAGCCGTGCATTGCTGCTTGAGGTGCGCGCTGAATGAACACTGGTAAACTGGAGCACTTTGCTAGCGCGTTATTTAACTCAAAGAAATGCATGAGATTAATCAGATACAAAATAAACCATAATATTGCAAATTATATCTGCACAAAATGATGCGAATGCCCAAGTGAACTTGAACTAAGTTACAAGCCATACAGAATGACTCATGTTGTGGAGGCGTTCTTCCTGGAGCAACGTGATGAAACATGGCAACTAAACCCAAATAATTCACAATGTTTTATTACAATATTGTTCTCTTTATGTTATGTAATATGATATGACAGTCCCAATCATACTCATCATTAGTCGTGCATTGCCGTTTAAGCTGCGCACGCTGAAGATGATCACCGCACGCTTTACTACAGCGCGCGTTAATTCTTAACCAAATGCATCCTATATAAGATTAATCACATATAGATGGGCCTACACAAAATAAACACAATATTAAAACTTACATTTGCACAAAACAAAAGGCTGCGAAATTGCGAATGCACATGCAAACATAGTCAAGATGGTGTAAAATGGTCCGGCACGCTCGCTTTACATGTTTCGCGGTTGAGCAGCACGCACGCGTATAAACCTGCTTAAAGGGATAGTTCGGCCAAAAATGATATTTAACCCATGCATTACTCCCCCTCAAGCCGTTCGAGATGCATATGTCAATCTTGTTTCAGACGAACACATTTTCAGTTATTTTAGAAAATGTCTTAGACCCTTCAGTGGATATAATGTGAAGCAATGGGGTCCACCTCCTTCAAGTCCCAAAATGTGCATATATCCTTCACAAAAGTAATCCATCCGGCTCCAGGGGGATAAACGAAGGCCTTATGAGGGTAATCTGTGCGGTTTTGTCGTAAAAATATACATATTTAAAACTTTATAAATGAAAATATCTGACTTCCGGCAACGATCGACGCGCGTCCACGGGTGATGGAAGTCGGCGTACGAGGTAGGACGTAGCGTTGTGACGTAGAACGAACGCGCCCGCGCAGCCAGAGAGCTATGCAGAGAGCAGAGCAAAACATCACCCGTGAACGCGCGTCGATCGTTGCCGGAAGTCAGATATTTTCATTTATAAAGTTTTAAATATGTATATTTTTACGACAAAACCGCACGGATTACCCTCATAAGGCCTTCGTTTATCCCCCTGGAGCCGGATGGATTACTTTTGTGAAGGATATATGCACATTTTGGGACTTGAAGGAGGTGGACCCCATTGCTTCACATTATATCCACTGAAGGGTCTAAGACATTTTCTAAAATAACTGAAAATGTGTTCGTCTGAAACAAGATTGACATATGCATCTCGAACGGCTTGAGGGGGAGTAATGCATGGGTTAAATATCATTTTTGGCCGAACTATCCCTTTAATCGACGATCGCTGAGTTTTATCGATTAAATGTTTTATCGACAATTAATCGATCGTCGATCAATCGTTAACATCCCTAGTAGATGATGATTCTTAAAGCTTCAGAACTGTGCTGTTCTGGACATTTTGAAACCGTTTTGCTGGCATTAATAAAGATGTAATTCTACTGTGTGCAGGTGACAGACCGCAGTGGTGCGCAGAGCGGAGAGTTCACTGATTTGTCGAAGGTGGAGAAATTCGAGATCTCTGATGATGCATATGAAAAAAGGGCAGGTAATCGAAACATGGCATCAAATTTCTGCCTGCGACACATTTGATGAGTGATTTAATTGTATAGCAACTTACAGTGACTGCTCAAATAGTCAGTCAGTCATGAAGTGACTTTTTTTTCCCGCATTGTGACATACATCTCAGTGAAACATGTAGCCTTGCTTCTATCAGTCGTTTGCTCATTGGATTGAAGCAGATCGCCTAAATGTAAAATTGCAGTCGATTGTAAGAAAGGGGCAGGTTTAAGCAGACTAAATGATTGGAGAAGTTCTGTATATGTCAGAAGAGAATCTGTCATTTCACCGGAAGACAAAGTTGACATTTTGATTAAAAATAATGAGGTAAAATAAAAAAATAAATATACATTTAGGATAAATCATTCACAATTACCTCAACATGCATTTAGAAAAAAGATAGGGAGAATTCTTCATCTCATGCTGCCTTTAAAAAATGCAATTGGAAATGTATCACAGAATCACATCACACGTAAATGTTAAAGAAATTTTTAATCAAGTATTTCACTGCTTTAACCCATGAAATACAAAATTCCAATAAAATGAAGTGGCCCAAAACCACTTAGAAATTTGGATCACACATATTTAAAGTGCCTTTACCATTAATGTAATGTCTGTTCTCTCTAAAATATGTTAGAAAAGCAAATATCTAACTTCTCAGTTTTCACACATGTCAGATTCGATACGGAGCTTCAAGAAGAATATGAAGTTGGGTCGTTTTAATGAGGAAAGCAGGGTCAAGCAAGAAGAGTCTCTTGCTAAGAAAGAAGAGGAAGAGAAGGCAGTGGCTGAAGCCATCGCTGCTGGAAACCGCTGTAAAGTCGAAGTTCCTGGGCAACCCACCAAGATTGGCACCGTCATGTTTGTGGGTACGCTTACCATCATTTTCATATCACACCTCTCAGATCAGGGCTCAACACTAAGGATTTTTTTTCTACTAGCCCTGTCGGTTATTAAATCATATCCTGATTTAATCCCACCTACTGCTCTGATTAACCACGTAATTGTTACATGTAAAAGAGCCCAGTGGGGGGGTTAAATATCTAATAATAAATGTGAATTATATACCGTTCTCTAAAGCTGTGCGTTTGAGTCGTGAACCTGTGTTTTCAGTGTCTTGGAGAAATGTATAAAATTGATAAATAGAAACTTTTAAAGTCAGCATAATACAGAAGTGTTGTGACTTGATTTTGTCCATCAGAAACTGATTGGATGGTTGTGGTTTGGTATTGGTTGATCTCATGTGAGTGACAGGTTGTCCCACCCTCACGCCAGTTAACGCATCATGAGATATCAGCATGTCTGAAGATATGTTTAAAGATTATGAAGGCACATGAATTAAAAAAAATAATAATTAAGTGTACTGACAAATAATTTAAAATAAATACTGTAAAATTCCATTACAAAAAACAAGAAGAATTGTCCATTTTGATTACATGGTGACTCCCAGAGATTTCCCGCCAAAATAAAAGCGCTATGGTTTAATGTTTGAAAGCAAAGAAATGAAGGCAGACATAAATATTTGTAAATTTATTATTGTTCTGTAAATACAATTTAATTATTATTAAATAATATGTAACAAAAATAGCTTATTTTATATTACAGTGGTATGGCAATAGTTTTGCATTTTATTTAAATAATAAAAGATATTTTGAATAATAAAAGTAGTAATAGTAATTATTATCGTTGTTGTGTAGTCCTATTGAATGGGAATAAAATCAGGGTTTCCTTCTATGGTGTCCTTATCTGATCACATGCCTGTTTATTGCTTGTTTTCAGGTACGGTAGATTTCAAGCCAGGCCACTGGGTTGGTGTGAAATATGATGAGCCGCTTGGGAAGCATGACGGCAGGTTGGTGCTCGCTCAAGTTATTTATGTTTATGAGAAGACCAGCATGTCTCAGAAAAGGTCTAAAATGTGACCCTTACCTGAACCTTATGAGAAAGTCTAACTGATGCTTCCTGTTTGTCCTGATTTAGTGTGAACGGGAAACGTTACTTTGAATGTGAACCAAAATACGGCGCCTTCGTGAAGCCCCTCTCAGTAACGGTGGGAGACTTCCCTGAAGAGGACTATGGTTTAGATGAGATGTAAGACTCACTTGATGAGTAGTCAGAAGCATCTGAAGGAAGATCCTCTTTCTTCAAGTCGTTTGACTCCATGCAGTGAGACATTTCTGCGGTAGAAGGTTTTCTGTCGTCAGTGCAGATCATTTTGTTTTAGGCTGGTCTGGAAGAGATCAGTGAAAATTCTACTTTAATTTCCTGCAGGCAAACACAAGAAATGATCTTAAATGCATCTGTGCCCTGGCGACTGGAAGTAGTAAGGCAAAAGTGAGAACATCAGTCGAGGTCAGAGTAAAAAAAATCTAGTTGAGCTCTTAAAGCATTCACTTGCATGTGGATTGTTCATTATTGAATTCCAAAGTTCTGCAGCTAATTTGAGCCCAGGCTGAATCATTTGACTTCAAACGAAACCAACTAACCACAACAGAAAATGTTCTTCACGTTTTTTTGCAATTCTGTACAGTCATTCCTCCTTTTTATGCAGCCTACTACATTCTTAAACGTCAACATGACTGTGTTTAGGGTCCTAGTCCCTCATTCTCTTAGGCACTTTAGCGATTAGCTCACAGATGAATTGTATAATATAGAATCCTGTGGCCTCAGTTTTCCATGGTTCTGTATTTTCAGTGAAAATTACTGAAATGTGATGAATTCTTGCCTTTTTTTTTGTGAAAATTGGCATGTAAGCTTTTTGATGCATGTCAAATTCACATTTAACTGAAAAGCCTTGTTTTTATGGAGTTCTGTGTTTAGCTAAATCTGTGTTTCAAATAAATCAATACCAATTTTGGACAACCTGCAGACATGTGCTCAAATTGTCTTTTCTTCTGCCTTAATGAAGCATGGGATACGTTGTACTGAAAAACACTGGTGTCGTACAGCCCTAAAATCTTGATAGCTTGTAGGTGATAATTAACATGTTTGGTTTTGGTCAATATGCAGTGATTGGTTTCACATGAATGCCAGTTGCTGCACTTCTTTAACAAATCAATGTAGTTAAAAGTAGAAAAGCTGGACATTAGACTAGGCACAAAGATTGATTGTTGGAGAATGGAGATATACATGAAAAGTGCTGGTATCTCTTCCTCATGTTTTTGTCTTGATTTCCAAATATCTTAAATATTGATTTAAATGTCTTAAATCAAGATACATTTACTTGAGAAGCAAAATGATTTAAGATATTAAGTCTTTGAAAAAATACCAAAATTAAGTGGGTAAGAAAAATAGACATGAATTTATCATTCATGCAATTTCTGGTTCATTTAAACGTGTCTGAGTGGACTTATCTTTAGTATAGTCCTCCCTGATAGCACACGTACATCACAGAGACGTCTATTTGATGTCTGCATTTACATCTGCAAGATGTATGTTGTTTTTAGAGTGTTTGCTCGTCTGCAATATGTGTCTCTAAGACGTTTCCTGTCAGATGTTAATAAACGTTTAGAAAATGTCTTTTAAGATGTTTATGATTTAAAATGTATGTAAAACTGTTTTTTTTCTAAGATGTTTTACACCGCAGATGTTTCCCAGATCAAGCCCTCTTTAGCAGACATCTTAGAGACGTACTTGTGCTGTCTGACTTTATTTCCCCCAGATTGTGATGGCTAGCAAAAATAAAAGTGTTTCAAATCACTGTCATTTTTGTTTGCACATTACTTAAACAAAAAAACAAACCGATATCTAGCAGTAGGCTGTTTCAGAGCACACACACACACACACACACACACAAACCAAACCTCTCCAGATAAAGACCTACCTAGTTGACAGTTTCAGTCGCTGTTGCTATCAGCATCAAGCTGTGCCGGTGTTTACTAAAACAGGATATTAAAGTCTAAATTAAGTTAAGATTGATATATAACGCGTTTCTCTGAACGACACCAGAAGCAGTCTGATAGTCGTCGACGAGAAGCCAGATAGGAGAAACTTCTTTTTTTTTTTTTTCGTTCGTCATGACTCGTTTGGTGTGAGACTGCAGGACTTTAGTTTATTGGCAAAGAAAATGAACCGCTGTTTCTGTCTAATCCTCATTAGATCCTGTCTGGTTTTGTCTTCGGGTAAGTTTCTCAATTGTTTATTTTGTTTATAAGAACTTGCATAAGAACTCTGTGGAAACAGCGCGATATGACGGATATTGCGAGAGCTTCCATTGTGTACACGTGTTACTTATATAGAACATTTTGGTTCTGTCTCAAAAACTGAGTGAGCTGCCTACGAGAGACAGGCTCCTGTCCTGAATTAGTCTTTTTAGTGGTAATCGCAAAGAACGTCACTATACCTACACTTTCTTTTGTTATTATCTAAACTTAAGTCACAAGGAAATCAGAATTGACAATTCTTATTTTTTATGGAATATTGCAGTAGGCTATTTATTATAAATGATTCACCCGTGCACATAAAATAAATCAATCATGTTCCTTTTAATCAAATCTTTAATCAAAATGTACGGAGCCCCGAACGGGACATGGTGGTGAAAATTTGTCAATGCTTTTGCGTTTTGTCGCAAATTTTTGCGTGGGAGCTTTCTTTAAGGATCATTTTTTTAAAAATATATATTTTTTACACAATTTCTACCCGATAAAATATTTTAGAGCTCGGCATAATTAGAAAAATGTATATTCATTCTATAAATGCCCATGGTCTTATAAAATCTTATTTAAAAAAAAAAAAAAAAAAAAAAGGTCTAGATTAGAAGGTCTAGAAATCACTTTTAAAAGGTTTCTCAAGACAGTGTGTAGTGTGTACTTTTTTTTTTAGTTTGGTCCTATTTTAATGCTTATTTTGTCTTATTTGAATGAATTTCCCCCTAGTTTCACCGACAAGGCTTAAACCAGTCCCAGACTAAATGCATGTTTGAGTTGTTTTAACTAAAAGCAAATTGCACTGAGATATCTTAAAATATTTCAGTGCTGTTGTTTTGTCTCAAGATGCACACCAGTAATGTATTTTTTTCCAAGGCATGTTTATGAAAGCAATTTAAATATCCTAATTGGATAAGGCGTAATCCTGTTTTAATATAATCCCTGTTTGTGAAACCAAGTCTTTAAATAATCTGGAGGCCCCCTGGTTGAGGACCGCTGGTCGAGGTAGACGGCTCACTATGGAAAGTCAACAACTGACTATTATATATTCTCAAAAAAGTACACCAGATGAATCTCTTAAATCACAAGTTTTCTATGAAAACAAAGATTGCAACATTCACAAAGTTGTGGACCAGATGTGTCCTATTGCAGCAACATCTTACACAACACTATGAAAGTACACTACTAGTGGCTTTTATTGTAATACGAACCAATAATATGCTTTTCTGCTGATCTGTATGTTGATCGCCATTACATTTCCCACATGCAGTCATGAGAGCTGTCCAGACTCATCCAGCTGAAGGAGAGACAGTGACTGGATCAAACATGTCCAAAACAACATTAGCCCCTAAAGCTGAACTCATCTCCTCAACTAACCCGTCTCTGAACACTGAGCTCATCACAACACAGAGCAAACCCCTGATTCCTGCATCTACTGGTACAGTCTGATTTCCTACATTGATTTGTTGCACTACTGTTTCATCACATGTGGTTTCCTTCATTATAGTCAAGTTTACATTTAACAAATTATATTTAAAGGGTTAGTTCACCCAAAAATGAAAATTATGTCATTAATGACTCACCCTCATGTCGTCCCAAGCCCGTAAGACCTCCGTTCATCTTCAGAACACAGTTTAAGATATTTTAGATTTAGTCCGAGAGCTTTCTGTCCCTCCATTGAAAATGTATGTACGGTATACTGTCCTTGTCCAGAAAGGAAATAAAGACATCATCAAAGTAGTCCATGTGACATCAGTGGGTTAGTTAGAATGTGTTGAAGCATCGAAAATACATTTTGGTCCAAAAATAACAAAAACTACGACTTTATTCAGCATTGTATTGTCTTCCGGTTCTGTTGTGGATCCGCGTTCAGTGCCGCCGCTGACGTAAGACGCTGCTGACGTGTGTCTGGTGTGTGTGTGTGTGTGTGTGTGTGTGTATTCTGGTTCTGTTGAGGATCCGCGTTCAGTGCCGCTGCTGACGTAAGACGCTGCTGACGTGTGTCTGGTGTGTGTGTGTGTGTGTGTGTGTGTGACGTAAGACGCTGCTGACGTGTGTCTGGTGCGCCCGAGCTTCGTTTACAGTCTGAGGGAGACGTACACTGGAAACAAAACAATCTTCACAAACTTGTCTAAGGATTTCCACACAGAGGAAAACTTGCATTTTTTTGCCCAGCCATATTTATTTGAACCCCAATACACACACACACCAGACACACGTCAGCAGCGTCTTACGTCAGCAGCGTCACTGAACGCGGATCCACAACAGAACCGGAATACACACACACACCAGACACACGTCAGCAGCGTCTTACGTCAGCGGCGGCACTGAACGCGGATCCACAACAGAACCGGAAGACAATACAATGCTGAATAAAGTCGGAGTTTTTGTTATTTTTGGACCAAAATGTATTTTCGATGCTTCAACACATTCTAACTAACCCACTGATGTCACATGGACTACTTTGATGATGTCTTTATTTCCTTTCTGGACAAGGACAGTATACCGGACATACATTTTCAATGGAGGGACAGAAAGCTCTCGGACTAAATCTAAAATATCTTAAACTGTGTCCCGAAGATGAACGGAGGTCTTACGGGACGACATGGAACGACATGAGGGTGAGTCATTAATGACATAATTTTCATTTTTGGGTGAACCAACCCTTTAACAGGCGTTCCTCCTAGTATCCCAACTGCAGGTTCTCGGTTCCATGCGGGTAGTTTTGTTGGCGGTATGACGCTGGCCATTATCATCACACTGGCTGTGGCTCTGGGCTACAGGTTGGCCTGCTCTCAACGGGAGGTGCGCTACAGAGCCATGTGAGTATCATCAGAGCGCTCTCTTTAGGTGTGTTTGACTTTAAGCAGTGCATGTCGGTTAAAAAAATGTCTGCGCATTCTGCACTGTGACGTACGCGAGAGTGATTCAAGAGCATTCGGCTGACTCGTTCTGTGCAATTTCTCCACAAGCTCTGATGACAACTCGGCTGTTTCACAATTGGTCTTATTCATTGTTGACAACTGTCATGTGTGTTTCGTGTTTATTCTGACACCATAAGTTCCACGCTCACAAATCAGTGTTTTTATTACTGCCCTTGTAATGTAATCGTAAAATATTATACAAAAATAAAATAAAAAAATGCACCTCTTGATGGAAATATTCCATCAATTTTCATCAAGAGGTGCATACAATTTTGCTCAAGATGTTGTATTGATAATACAAGAGTCCAGCACTCTGTAAAGTCTCCTCCAGCACATCCCAAAGACTTTCAATGCATTTAAGCTCTGATTCATGTGTGAAAATGATTCTTCATGCTCCTCACATCTATTCTTTCACAGTTTGAGCCTGAAGAGTCTTGACATTATCCTCCTGGAATATGGCCATGATGTGTCTTTCTATGTATACATGGTTGTTTAAGAAATGAAAAGCTACACACTCCATCAGTTAGGGTTAGAAGAACTGTTGCCAAACATATAACATGATAAAAACATAATAATCACTGCAATAATGATCCAATCATACACTCTTAAGCATTTGCCTATTGAAATCCAAACAGCAGATTTTCTTTTGGCCAGGCAGTGTTTATCAAAATAAAACTGATAGAAAAAAAATATAAACCCCACTTTAATTGTCATTTAAATAGTATGTTGAACTTTATTCTTGTACAAACGCGCTGTTTTACGCAGTACATAAAGTATTGAATGGAAAGTGTTTCTGTTGATACATTAAAACGCCTGAAATGTCTGTATATTTGACAAATATTGCATCTATTCAGTGTCATCTCTGCTACACAAACAGCGCGAGCCGAAGTCAAACACACCTATTGTTTTATGCAATGTTGTTACGTTTACATAATTGCTTGTTTAAAAAAACATAAGGATATCCAGATATATGATGTGATGAGTATGTGAACCATGTACCCTTTTCTTCTCAATTATGTATTACACAAGCCATGTTTTATATGATCATATGTAATAACATAACCTTGCTAATATATATTTCATGTCATTCAGTGAGGAACATGATGCCATCATTTAAAATGGAGCCACTGAGGAAATACAGGCCAAAGCACATGCTAGTCATGATCTGAAGAGAAAGTTTTCACTTTACCATGGTTAATATGCATATGAAACTGTGTATGATTTGTTTGATACATTATATATTTGAATCTAAAACAGGTCGCCCTCTTTTAGCAGTTTATACATTTTAAGTTATGAATATTTGATCTCAATTGTGTTTTCAGTGATTTTTCTGTCTAGTCTAATCTAGTATTTGTACTTAAACTAGACTATCTTTACTAGTGTGTAAAATATGAACCTGTAAGATTTTTAAAGAGATATGAGAGACACATTATTTTGACACTTTTGGTTAGTGTTCAGGGTAAAATTTTTTAGGTTTATGGTATTTTTTGTATAAAAGTGTTTTTGTGTGTGTGTGTGTGTGTGTGTGTGTGTTTTTAAATGTGTTGATATTAGTTTCATGTACGGTAGAGAATATTATCCAATAAAGTGATTTAGTCTAATGGTGTGGGCTGCATGTTGTACATTTTCCTCACACACAATTTACAACGAATGTCTAATAATATTGTAGGCTCATAATGCATGAGTATACGATTAAAGACAGTATCTACCAAAGTATATACTTTATTCCAGGCCAATTTTAAAGTAATATGTAAAGAGATATAATGTAACAGAACTTAAGGTTCTAAGATACATGCACATACATTGATTTAAAAAAACAAACAAACAAAAAAAAAAAACATTAGATCATAATAAATGGATATAAATTCATTCTGGGTGCATTTAAAGAAATCTAAATACCAATCCATTAACTTGTGTGATTAGTACTACCACTACAAAAAAAGTAAACAGTTACTATATATTCTGAACAGTTGCACACTAAGCAAGCATAAAATCATGTTTAAGTGACATACACATTTTAGTCAATGCTCTATAAACGTGCAATACCATAACTGTACCCACAATTCATAAAACATTTTGTTGCATTGCTCTCTCCAACACTGTTTTACCCCACTAGAGTCTGCCATCAATACTATGTTTGCAAAAATAGATTTTTCTCTTATCTTGTCTTTTTTCTCTCACCTCTAACATTCATTACTATGGCCTACTTGCTGTTTTTGATCATAAAATTTGACCATAAAAATGTTTGCTTACTGAGGCAATTGAGTTATAGACCTTAGCGGTATTATTCACCCAAACAGACCACAGAATATTATACTCATAAAATGTCGCCTTAAAAAAAAACAAAAACAAAAAACAGTACAAAACGCATTAAATGTACGGGCCAGTTATTGAGCTATAGTTATGTAGTGTAAAAATAACCATATTGTAAACAAGAGGAGATATTCAGAGTATATTACTGATTGCAAAGGATCCGCAGTAAATTTCCTGTAGTGTTCTTCTATAGTGAAATAATGTAAACCAAGGTAACCTGCCTAATAATGTGTCTTTAGTACTAACATCAGAACCAGCATAACAGGGCCTGTCAAATCTTGCTTCATTCCAAATCTCCTCACTAATCAATTAGACCTTTTCTCATTAGCTTATGTTTTACGTGTACATAAAAGCATGATAGATTTTTTTTTATCATCCATTAAGAGAAAAAAATCATTACTAAAAAAAAAAAAAAAAGTCTTTGGAAGCCTCGTCGAAGAAATCCTGACAGAAACGATAACTGATTGTTTCCATTAAAGTCTACTCTATCATTCATATCCACAGTTACCAAGTCAAATCCAAGCTAACAGCTAATCTACAGCACTAACCATCAAGACATGCTCATCTAGCCATCTAAACTTATCAGAACCTTCCACTTACTGCCGATATCCGTCTCAGCATCAACATCAACATAACTGGCACAGACTCTACTGGAGCTCATATCAGAGATGTCTGTCTATTGATCAAAGTGCCCTTGATATTTTCTTCCTTGCTTTTGGATGAGATATTTTCACTAAAACAAGCAAGTAAGCAGGAACATATCAACTGAGATACTAAAATCGTAAGATAAAAAGAGATATCGGTAACAAAACCAAACGATTCCCCCCTCAGATTGATTATGAACGATAGCGTCCATCTAGTCAGTGTTATCTGTCAATCATTCCCATGCACTCTTGGAATAGTTGTATAAATCCGTTAAAACGAGAGCAAAAACAGATCCGCTTTGTTCTTTGATCACAAATGAATGCCGTAACCGTCAAGAAACGAAATCAGGCTTAAATAAAACTAACACACAAAGAGGCTAGGGTTCTTTAAGGAAAGACACACACAAACAAAAATTCAACCCTAAATCCCAACATAATATTTTTTTATAAAACCTTTGAAAGAAATATACTTTGATTAATGAGTAAGTAAATGAAAACGTTTTCAAATTTGATCTATGATCTCTAGTGTAAAAAGGACAGGATTTGTTTTGTCTGAAGGCACTTGATTACACAGTTTCTAGAGTGATATTGCTGGCACAGCCAAGCAGCGGGATTCGTTTAACCAAAGCCACACGGTGAAACCTTTCAATCCCGATCCCATCAAAAAAAAAAAACCTAAAAAAACACGTACAGACGACCTCCTCGTCGCTTTTTGGTTTCTCAGGCTCATTACTGTATGAGGGAAAAAACAGTCAATTGTAGCTGAGCTGAGATCAGGGATGTTTCGAGTCACAGAGGTCGATTTAGGGTTACATCTGTCTTTATCGCTCACTCTCGAGGAACACCCGAGCCCATCGGCCCTGTTCGCCCAGCGAGGAGTTCATGAGGGGAAACACAAACTCACATACTCGCACGCTGATCATACAGTACAGCCGTGGAAGAGAATCGGGTACGTGTGAATACTTGTCTGTTCATGGGCCAGCCTTGAGGATGCAGACATGAAAAAAAGACATGAGAAAAAAGAAGCACAAAAGGACCAACGGTTAAAATACCTCAGCTTTTAAAACCAATTCGGCCGAACGTAGTGAATGGAAGATAGGGAGAGAAAAACTGTCCAAAGAGGGTGAAATGTCTTTTCTTTTCTCAACTCAAAGCATCTACGCATCCTTCACAGATTGGATTAGGCAGCAGTTCAGCATGTTGGAAGAGAAGGCGTAGTATTCAGGCGCTCTATAGCCAGGTTAGAAAGTTCTCCTTGTCGATCTTGGTCGCTGCCAGCACAGACTCCATGTCATTGAGTATGTCGGAGCTCAAGGCCTCCTGCAGGCTGGGCATCAGCTCCTCGCCCTCCACCGCCATGCTCTCCCCCTCCAGGGTGCCCAGGTCCACATCTGTACCCGGGATGGCGTCTAGGTAGTCGGGAAAACGGCTGGGCTGCGTCGCCATGGAGCTGGGGCCGAGGGTGTCGCCTGGGAGCGAGACATTGGACTTAAAACTCTACTGATATCATGTGTGTGGTTTGATTGTGATTATTGTCCTTGTGATGTACCTGTCTCCATCTCGTCCACACTGTTGAGGAAGTCGTCTGGAGTGCGAGGGACGCTGTAACTGCTCATGCTCAGGCCACTGTCTGTGCTCTCGTCCCGGGAGTGATACGTCCCACTGCACAGGAAAACACCATTAATGACAGCACACACACACACATTTAAAAGCTTGCTTAGACGAATATAAACCATGTACATATGTAAATTGTACAGTTACACTACTGTTCTAAAGATTTCTTGGTTCAACTTTATTTTACTGTGTCCTTATTACTACAGTAACTACATGTAACAACTATAAATTATGGGTAGCACTGCACATGTACATACTATGCACTTATTATAGCAATTACAATAACTGGGTTATAACTAGGTGCTAACCCTAAACCCCACCAATAAACATAATGTAGTTACCCACGATAGTACTGGGAAATATAAGGTAAGTACACCAAGCACACGTACTGTAAATTAAAGTGTAACCAAATTATGCGTAATTACATGCAACTAACCCTAAACCAAACCCCAATCCTAACCGTAAGTACATGTAGTTCATTATTATTACTATTAAATGCATAATTACACGGTTACCCTTTATTTGAAGGTGTCCTTGTTACAGATTTCTTTTGAAAGAAATTAACACTTTTATTCAGCAAGGATGCATTAAAAATATTTATAATGTTATAAAAGATTTCTATTCCAAACAAATGCTGTCCTTTTGAATGTGCTATTCATTACAGACTCAGTTTTTACAATACATTTTTTATACAGTGTACATAAATTACATTTTTCATGATTTTTTTATTATTATTATCATTTATGGTAATTTGCCTCGCACCGGTATAAATGATCTCATGGCAAGAAACAATATTTATAGTCACATATTTCATGTTCACATTTTTGGGGGAAAATAATTTGACCACCACAAAGACCAAGTCTACGAAAAGCCAAATATATACGGTGACATTAGATCAACACACACCTGACTATTTCTATCTGACCACAAACTCACAAGCTAAGAATATAACAGTGCAAAGCACAGAAATCTAGTGCAGATAACTTAATAAAAAAGAAGTTCGCTCTTTTTGCAAAAGTGAAAGTTTGTTGAATCTCAGTACACAGAGAATCGCAATATATTATTGAGAGGATGAGAGTGTGCAGAGCAGGTGGAGACTTTGCATTAGCCAAAACACAAGAAAGTTTAATCTATTTCCATTTGTGTTACTCCAAAGTTTTGCAGACTTTTGTGTAAATTGTGTACAACCATATATACACAGTACCTTAACATAAAAAAATCCCTCATTTACAAAGCTTCGGTAGCCATTGCCTCTTAACTTCTGTACAATTACCCAGATTAACTGCTAATAATGACTGCTCATTCTGCTCCTAACTGCTGCAAGAGTCTCTGCTTGTATTCCTCACAGTGGCCCGCTTTGAACTGCCTTTGAGTCATTGTAAAAGGTGTTGTTTTGCTGGTGGTCTGAGAAAAGCTCTCTATAAATAGCAGGCAGGCAGTTCAGCACAAATAAAGAGGGCAGAGGACATGCTACAGTGAAGGAAAATACAGCAAGTTTCTCCTAATTAAGAGAATGAAATGTGGCTTCAGTGCATGAGAGTCGCTGGATGAATGAGCTCTTTGTGAGCGCAGCCGAGGCGGTGGGAGGGGGGGGGGGGGGTGGCCTTGTCCAAGACCGAGACCACATGTTCTCACGGCCGCCTTGCTATTCACATAAATCCCTTATCTGCTCTCATGTAGGAGGAGAGATTGATGTGCTTGTCTGCCACTGGAGGGCGCAATTCTCTGCAAAAGCAGCGTAATATGGATTGCTTTCAACAGCTTCTCCATCAGGGGTCACCAATGAGTGTCATTCCAGCTAAAAAGCACACATGATGCAGCCAAACATCTTTTGTGGGACGGTTCATGGCATTTATGTGCCTTTGCACCATGTGCAAACTCAAAGTGAGTTTCTCTTGCATTCATGTGTTGTGCATGCATGAGTTCGAAGTGCCTTACCTGTTCAAGAAAGGGTCAGAGCTGTTGGTGGTCATGTTACGGGCGTCTTGGCCCATGCCGGGCGAGGACACGGGGTTTTGAGTGCCGCCATCCTGCTCCATGCTGGTTGGAAGCTGGTTTCTCAGGGCGAGCTCCTGTACGCACGCACAGACAAAAGAAATACGTGTCAAAGGGCGAAATTCACAAAGTGAGCAGACTGGGTTTGCAGGAACGGAAGCTCAACGGAAGACGAAATGAACAATTTTCTTTGGAATTACTTCAAGTACAGAGATGAGAGTGGATGCATTTTTCAACTAAAGAGAAAGGACAGAACAAACTATTCTGGTTTTGCTTTCAAAGCACACAAAACATTGAGGTGAAAAAAAAAAAAAAAACTTAACCTACAAGTTTCACTTAGTTTCCTGTATCACCCTCTTGTGTTAAATAAAAGCCTTTCCCATCCAACAAGTCATGAGTTACAAATCTGGTTATCATTTGTCAATGGATTGTGCAAGATTGTCTGTCAACGTTTTCTTTTTTCACAGCCTCAGCTTAGACGGGTGGTTTGCAGAGTCTCACGCGAAGGTGTGGGTTTATTGCACACCAATAGGGTCAGATCTTTGTTTTTTATTACGGACTTCCTATGACTAATTGAAACTTAAATATTTGCACAACTTTTGCTGATTAAAAGATAACTCAACAGGCTGTCACAGCATGACATCCACACTGACCCTGCTGACTACACTCATCTTATCGAGAACGATTCATTCATCACATTATTTAAAAGAAATGTCTTTCTTCTTTGACTGACATTATTATAGTTCTATGCTGCCAGAGTTAATGCGTTAACTGCTATAATTTAAATAGCGGTTTTCAAAATCAGTGCAGGTGGCTTATGAAATTTAAATCAATTACAATGCATTCTGTAAATCTAAACTTAATTTGAGTATAATTACATTTGTTTTGTTCGTTTTAAAATCATGCAAATGTATTTCAGTTTAGTTCCAGTTTTGTTGTTGGTTAAATTAGTTTTTAACCAAATTTCAGTTAGATCAGTGTGAATATTTTTATCTTGTTAAATATCTTTTTAATAGAAAATGTGTTATAATTTAGAGGTAGGACAGACTTAGAATCCAATTTTACGTTTGCTTTGATTTCAATAACATGCAATATCATGGGTGAGCGATTCATTATAGGATTTCCAGCAATAACATCAATGTCTTTAAGTGTTTTTGAAGGCCTATCTTTATTAGTCTTTAAAGTGAGCTGCTTCCAGCCTGTAAGATCATCCCCGAAGATCTCTGTTTATTTAGTTTTCCAGCAGGGGGGTCTTGCAGAACTGAGTCAACACCGTGTTTACATTCCAAAGCAGGGGCAGCTGAGCAAAACCTCCTCCTCCTCCTCTCCAACCTCTCATTTACTCGCTCAAAAAACACACCCCATCTATACAGCGACTTCAGATTTACCCACCCTACACTATATGTAAAGAAACAAAGTGTGATGGGTTGGTGTACGTTTATCAGATGCATAAGTTGCAAAGTGGACCAGACCTTATGCCAATAGTCAAGGTCTGTCAAAACAACCAGCATAAGATTAAACGTCACGCTACGTTACAAACAAAAATACACAGTACAGCTCAGGCCCAGTTAGGCAGTGTGTGCCCGTCTAGCATGCGAGGACAGAATGTTCCGACAGGTGTGTGTCTGACCTGGGGTCTCTGGCGGAGGAGCTCTTGTTTGATCCTCAGTCTCTCTTTCTCCATCTGGATCTGCTGCAGTCTGATCTGGTTGTTTCCACCCATTACTCCACTCTGCGGGCTGGAGGGCAACTGGGAGCCTTGCTTCACTGGAGCACTCTGGGAAATTCGCTGCTGGTTCATAGCTGAGGACACAAAATCAATTATTTTAAGAGGCTTTGTTCGCTCTGTTATTGGCAATAAAAAAAAGGATTAAAAGGGATAGCTCACTCTAAAATTAAAATTAAGTCATCATTTACTCAGCCTGGTGTTGTTCTAATGCCGTATGCCCTTCTGTCTATTTTGGACCACAAAGAAAACACACAAAAAAGTTCCGCTTGTGCTCATCCTAGTGCATAGCGACAAGCATCAAGCTTTTTAAAAAAACTAAACACACACAAAAGCATCACAGAATGGTCCCATGCGACACGCGTCGTATATTCCAAGTGTTCTGGGGGGTTAGGGTTTGGTGAAAAACAAAATGAAATTTAATGTATTATTTGACAAAAATCCTGACCTTGGCCATTAGTCATTTTGGTGACTTAATTTTCCACTAGAAAATATACACAACATGTAAATAAAATTGTATTGTGTATATAAGCACTACTGAAACGCCATATTGAAGAATTAGCACTTTCATTATACACTTATGAAGGGCCAAACAGGAAATAATTATATGAAATCTGAATTAAATTCTCAATTTATAAATGCAAATCTGAATATTTATCTATGAATATGCAGTTATAAGTCTGAATTCATTTAGTGAGTCATTGATCATTTTCAGACTAATGACCAATATTCAGATTAATATTTGCATATATACAGTATATTCAGATTTGTATCTATAAATGTAAACATATAACTAAATATTTGAATTTATAGTCATTACATAGTTATATCTGCATTATATAGTTTATATTGTCATTATTTAGTCATAGAAAGATATATACGATTATACAGGTGAAACTCGAAAAATTGGAATATCGTGCAAAAGTTCATTTCAGTAATTCAACTTAAAAGGTGAAACTAATATATTATATAGACTCATTACAAGCAAAGTGAGATATTTCAAGCCTTTATTTGTTATAATTGTGATGATTATGGCTTACAGCTTATGAAAACCCCAAATTCTAAATTAGAATATTGTGAAAAGGTTTTCATAACTGTAAGCCATAATCATCACAATTATAACAAATAAAGGCTTGAAATATCTCACTTTGCATGTTATGAGTCTATTTAATATATTAGTTTCACCTTTTAAAGTTGAATTACTGAAATAAATGAACTTTTGCATGATATTCTAATTTTTCGAGTTTCACCTGTAAATAAATATTCCCGATTTCATATAAAAATGTCCTGTTTGGCCATTCATATACATTTGATATTAAGGAAAAAAATTATCTATACAACACAGGGCATAAAAAAAAGTCCCATCAATGTAAGTGAATGGAGAAATGCGTATCGCCACAGACGCAAACACAGAAACAAATGTTTTGGACCATAGGAGGTGGGGTGTTACAGTAATTGGACCAATGAAAATGGCTGTTTACTTATGCACTGGGGCCACCAGTGACAACAAAGCCGTGATGGTGCTGGCGTTGTTATGCGCGAGGGAGCCCCGTCTTCCCCGCTTATCCTCATCGCCATTCAATCACAGTGTGTTTACACTACCTCAGGCCTGAATGAGTCTCCACTCTCCTCTCACCATGGGAATCAGATCAGAGACTCACCACGCCTCACACACACCACAACCACCATCCCCCACACTGCCCGAGGCGTGCAAGAGTGTGTGGGAATGTGTATGAGTGCTAGTGGGGGAGTGTGTATCTGTGTGTGTGTGTGTGTGTGTGTTTGTTTCTCTTTTAAGACTCTTATCTCGCATAGATAGGGGTCTATTGAAGCCGAATGACGGTTCTGGTGGAGAAGTAATGGCTGATCTCAGGGCAGGAGTGACCAGTTAATACAGGCTGATATGAGTGCAGCCAGATTTGTTGCACAAAATAAACTCTTGATTCTCAGGTCTGGATTTCCCTGACTAGTCTATACTTGTTTCTGTGGGTATCTCACTTGGGAAACTCCATACCACAGCATGAAGATGACAAGAACACACAAACAAGCTTTATCCATGTGGCCGAATGACTCAGTGTTGCATAAGCGCAGCAGAACTGCAGGTTCGTGCCACGAATGTGTTCTCCTCTGAACCAACAGGAGGAAACGTGCCAGAGAAACACAAATAAAAAGAGCGAGATAGAGATAAAAGCTCAGATTGACGTAGTTTGCCCGTGTTTTCCACGCTGGCTCTGAAACACGATCATCCAGCAATAACAGTCTTTATCAGGCCGTCTCGCAAAGCCGAGCCAATAGCAGCTCCCCTGTCCTTTCCAGGTGAGACTGGCGGGATGTTGGGAAACATTAGGAAACGCAGCGCCAGGACCTTTGAAGCCTTTGTAAATATTTGCTGGCTGTCGATTTAACAGGTTTGTTGTATAAAAGCCATGCTCAAGTTGCGTTTCGAGTTAGGAGATAAGCGCGTACGCGGAGGAGAAAAAGGAGAGTCAATCTGTGTCCAGAAGAAAAGCCTCTCTATATCCCATCATACACAAACCTCAGCGGGCCACACAAAAGCAAGCTGTGAGCTGCCGGAAGCCAGCGTGAGGAAACTCAGCTGTGACTAGTGTGTAGTAGGAAACCAGTTGAAAGCAAGATGGCAGCCGTATCACTTACAAGTGGAAACAGCAGGTGGTATATTTATACATCAAGACTTTCACAGTTATTATTAGTGATTACTGCAGTGAGAAATGCAAATGTGCTTCCGTTATTCGCACTAAGCTGTGCAAGTAATATGTACCGGTAATGCAATTTTGCAAATAATAGAGTCGGACTAAGTCAGCGGCGTATTTCAGGTTCTTGACCTTTTCCTTTTTACAGACACTGCGCTGTTGCAATACGCTCACCATACGCGATTTAACCACAAATTTCTGATCATGTTTTCAGTTGTTCCCCTAGATTACACTTGGAATCCCTTTTCTCTCATTTCTTTCACCAGAAAGAACACTTTAGATCAACTTAGATCACACTGGAGACAAAAGATACATTCATGCCATGTTGGAATTACCGTAATTATGACATCCCGACTTGTAAAAAGCATGCACGTTCTCGTATAACTTAATTTAAACTATTTAATTTTATGAAAGCTCTGACTTGTACCTCCTGACCACTGCAAAATGATGCGGAAACCTTCAAAATGGCAATGACTTCAGCACTAAAATGATATAATTCCGATAATGGACTATTGTTAATAATGCAAGAATAATCTTAAAATGAACCAAAGACACAATAGAATTTATTGAATCGAGCACAGAGTTGAATGTCCTGCTAAATAAACTTTGTTTATTAATAAGGCATTTGCAAAGCCTTTTTATAATGCAATGCCTTTTTACAATGACTGTTGCTTGTTGCATTTACAAGGGGAACCACCAGAAAAAAAATTCTCTCCATGAATGCACTGAGAGACTGTCATCTTTGAGCGTGAACCACTGATGGCACTTTCGTCATCCCGTTTCCCAATAAGGCAAGCGCCTTGGGAGTCGTGAAGTGTTTATGCAACCGTGCATGAGTGTGTGTGTGTCAGCTCAAAGCTCTGGAAAAGATGAGTGCTTCACAAGAGTGTGACATCACTCTGCACTTGCCAACAAGGTGCCAACTCCTGCTCTGAAGGACCATGATAATCTAAGCGGCCCGCAGCACATGACCGATAACTGAAGGCTCCAGTTGGTCTTTGTGCTCAAAAATGGTGGTGTTTTTGAGTCTACGGGCCAGATGAGGCGTGAAATACATCATAAAGTCCCACATTGGCCTCTCAGATCAGACCTCAAGGCCTGTTCACCGCCTCTTATGAAGGAGGCACAAGTTTATCCAGTGGTCTCTTATTCCTCCCTTTCTTCTCCCTCTTCCTTTCCCTCTCTCAGGGCCTGCCTTCGCCTGCCCCCTTCCCCTCTCTCTCTCTCTCTCTCTCTCTCTCTCTCTAACATTGGGTCTCTTTGACTGAAAAGGTCTGGAACAGATTAGGAGCAGAGCTGCAGCATCGAGAGGCCTGGCACCGTCTCAAGTCCATCTAGATGTGCAGCTGAGAACAGTTCTGCCTGCGCTGGGCCTCACGCGGGCTGGGAGGGGGGGTTAGACAGAACGAGAGAATGGCCAGACTTTAGTTCTCAGTTAAAGGAGCACAATCCAACTCTACTCCCTGCTCGAATTACCCAAGTGTCTCCAATGGTGAGCGGAGACCCAGACGGGACATGTCAGGTTAGCAACATATTTAATCGTTATTTGAGGTTCAATTGGTGCAAGGAGCCAACGTTCTTCTAGCTCAAAGTTGCATTTCTGAAGCTGGTGGAATAAAGTTCAGCAACCTCAATGAGAGGAGTCGAGGGATTAAAACACAAACACAAAGGTTATAAAAATATGCCGACGCAAGCAGATACATAAAACCGCACGGGAACGCCCAAACATTCTAAACTTGTGGCAAGGAATGAGTTAACCACGTCTACCCCTCTCGCCGTTCTCCCCCTCACATTACGTCTGTAATTCAGAGGCCCACCAGGCTTGTCCGCTGAACACTTATAAATCTTCAAAGGGCTTCACCCACCAGAGCCGACCCCCCTCCCTTTTTGTCTTTCGCTCTTTCTCTCTCGCTCTCCTGCCTGACCCAGCCCTTCACAGACTTGTTACCACTTTACCCACGACCACTTGCTTGTTTGGTGTATGTTAGCACACAAAACCCAATTTTGTAGATTCGGATTTCGGCCAAAAATGGGGCAAAAACATGCTTGTTCATACATGAGGGAGATAGTGAGATAGTGTCCCAGGGGAAAACTCCTTTGGGATGAAGCAAAAGCACCTCAAGCGTGAGTAACTCAAAGTGACATAAGTAGAAGCCTTCATCTCTTTGTGAGCCTTACGTGCTCATAGAAAGAGATTAAAGAGAGGGACTGAAAGGGGTAGAAAAAGGACAAACATCTTAGTCTGACAACCTTTCGGTGAACCATTTATCTTGACAGCAAAAACAGATGATTAGATTAATGTGACTATTCCACTGCTTAGATATGTGTCATCGCCTCTGCGTATGGATTATGGATGCATATCTGAACGGGGGTTTAGGGAACGGCATAATCAGATGCAGTTTGAACTAGTTTGCGAGTGTGTGTGTGTGTTTGTGTGCGAGTAAAGGGATCACATAGCACACTCTTGAGTGTGGAGCAGTTTTGGCTAACCTCAGTATGAGTCACAGGAAGCAGGAATACTCTGTGAATAGTGTGCCACAAAAACACATACACACTCTCACTCACTTTCATACACACACATTGTCAGAGAGCAGTCATCTACACTCGGTCTGTAATCAGCATAATAATAAAGCAATAAGCAACAGTTACAGTGATTTTACCACGGTGGAAGTGTGTTCTCAGGACTTTGAGCGCCTAACACCCCTTATCAATGATGAAACCACTGCAATGATCGACCTCAGGTATAGTGATGGATGATTGCCTTTTTACAGAAATAACGAAACCGAAATTAAAGTTGTCATTGAACCGAAAACCAAAACTAAAAGGAATGTTTCAGTAATTAACTTTATTAATTAACTTTAGAACTCGGTATGCTGCTCAGGGTGTTTTGTTTACAGGTGATAAAACTGTAATAGTAAAGTTCTTCGGCAACAAGCTGCCTCTTGATATTTTAGCTGAACAAATTTTACATTTTGCTATACTAGTTTCATTTTTGGCTACGTGCATCCCACATTGCTGACGTGTTTATCTGTTGTAGCTTATCTAAGTTGTTTGCACAACATGTCATTGAGGACGTTGCTAACTGTTTTGTTCCCTGTAAAACCATTTAGTCAAAATTGATTTTTTTGTTTTTTTTGCTGTTTAAGCCGAATATTTTCGGTTGTCGAAACTTCAATGCATCACTACTCAGGTGGCTTATTCTTTTATAAAATGGCGACAAGAGCAGCATGATAAGAGACCAATGTTCAATCAAAAGTACAATTAATAATTTTGATTATTATAAACTTTTAGGATTTAAAGCTCACCGTAACGCGGGTCGAGTCGTGGGTCCAGCCAAGAGGTGGTTTTGTTTTTGTGATTGATGTAGTAGATCTCTCCTTCTGAGGTAATAGCTTGCTCCCAGCCTTCAGGAAGAGGTCCTGAGAGAGAACAGTCAGGATACAGTGAATTATCCAGTACTAACTGAAATTCTTATGTTAGTAATTTGTTTGGCCACAATCCACATTTTTCATTCCACATTTTCCCCAGTGTTAACGTTCTTCATCCAAGTTAATAGTACATGAGCTACTGCCTACATACTGTAGAAAATATGATGGCAGCATTGCCAAGATGGCTGCTGAGTTAACTGACTTGCCTGGACTTTGCTTGCACATCCCTTATCTGTCTGATTTGGTGATTTCAATTTCCAATAGCAGAATTTTATGAACTTGTTAGAGCGTCCGCCTCCCATGCCCAAAGCGCCGGTTCAAATCCAGTTCGGAGCGGGGCGAGTAGAACCGGAGGGAGTAAATTGGTGCCGTGACCCGAATGGGGGTAAGGTTTAGGGGGTACACTAAGTGTAACGGAGGCCAGCTAGTTATAGCTTTGAGAGTAAACCTCACTCCCCTGGACTAAAGAGGTGCACTGGCTAGAGACGCTGGAGACTGCCGGTCCCATGCCGGACACTAGGGATGCTCCGATGGATCGGTCGTAGATTGGTATCGGCCTATAATCACATTCTGTGACTCCATCGGTAGTCGTTAAACTTGGCTGATCTCACGAACCGATCCCAATTTAATGACGTGAAACACATGATGATGTCAAACTTTAGCACCGCAGTCACCTGTCATGTTCTAAAGAAATGTAATAGGAAGGAACATTGTCTAAATAATACAACGAACCTGATTCGCTGCCTCTGTCATCTGCTCTCTGTGTCTAATGCGGGGCTCAGGCAGCTCCTCCACTCACTCACACACATACACACACACACACACACACAGAGCAGACAGCGACCGGGAAACTGAGCATGTGTGATTACCTGCATCTGTCCTTCTTCAGATCAAGCCATATATTCGTGAAAAAATCAGATTGCCATCAGTTGTCAGAAGTTGAAAGCGATATCTTTGTCATAGTGTCATTTCAATACGTAAAGGGATTTCCCATGCTGTTCAATGCATTGAATCAATGCCATTGATCTCTATGAAGTGAAACATCAGCTTCTGCGTTACCCAGGTGATGCGTTGGTCGTCAATTGAGCCTTAATCTCAACACCTAGTTGAATGAACGGTTTAACAATGACTCGCTCATTAAAGACAGCCCCTTGCCTGCTGGCATAACAATGTAACTGCACTGACTGACAGACTGCCAAATGCTTAAGCCAAATGGATAGTGTTTTGCGTGAGCACTGTTTTTAAAGGCCTATTAAAATGTTAATTGTAAAATAAATATTTGTTGTGCTTATTTATTTGATTCTCAATTAAAACAATAATTAAACATTACTGTAAATAATATAACCAAGGCAACATCTGTGGTATTACTTAATCAGTCAACAGCGAGCTTACATATCAATTATACAAAGCTTGAATGATCGAGATCGACCGGTCATGATGACAAGAAAACGGTAGTCGTATCGACTGCAAAAATCGTGATTGGAGCATCCCTACTGGAAATGCCAGTTCGAATCCCACTCAGAGCAAGTAAAACTGGAGGGATTACATACAAGCATGATAGATAAGGAAATGACAAGACTACCATGTTATAGAGTGCAACAGTCAGGTTCAGGAAAGAAAAAAATCCCATTAATTTTCTCCATTGGGGAATACATTCTTGGACTCTATAGTTTCCAGGACCAAACAATGTATCGTACTTTGTAATCCAAAGAATGACATTAAAGTCTGAGGGGAATGCCCTAAAACACTGAAAGGGACCGGTCTTGTCTCAGTTCCTGTTGAACCTCCCATAAGCTGACTCCAGGTCTGACCCTGGTCACTATTGTATCTCCAACCATACATGTCTACCTTACCGTCAACTGCCATTCACATGCATTTCCCTGCACTGATAAGATTTCTACGTTTGCTGAGGTAGAGGCGGGGTTGGGTTTAAACAGACTGCTACACCCGTAGAATTAGCATGAGAATGCTGGGACTGAGAGTGTAGTTTTTAATATGAAATGAGTGTCTGGAGCTGCTGACCTGAGGCAGGGTTCATGATGTTCTGTTGCTGGACAGGCACTGGGCTAGGCGGGGCGGCCTGGTTCATCTGAAGGAGGGCCTTGCGCGGGTCCTGCCAGGTGGTCGTCTGGTCATGATGGCTATGGGGAGACAGATGTACATTAAAAGGACTATTAAGCATAACTATGGTGGCTGAGTTATGAATCATAATGAACTGCCTCTTTGGCTGGACATATTAGGCCAAAACAAAACTGCCAATTTTAAATTAGGGTCACAGAATGATTTTTATTTTATTTTATATACACTACCGTTCAAAAGTTTGGGGTCGGTACGATTTTAAATACTTTTAAAAGAATTCTCTTCTGCTAACCATGGCTGCACTTATTTGATTAAAAATACAACAAAAATCAGTTATAGTATTAAATATTATTCCAGTGTAAATCAGCTGTTTTCTGTGTGAATATATAGTAAAGTGTAATTTATTCCTGTGATCAAAGCTGAATTTTCAGCATCACCAGTGTCAGTGTCTTCAGTGTCAAATGATGCTTCACAAATCAGTATAATATGAGGATTTGATGCTCAAGAAACATTTATTATTATTATCAATGTTGAAACAGTTGTTGGTCTGTCAGTTGTACAGTTTTTTTTTTTTTTTAGGATTCTTTGATGAATAGGGTTAGGGTTAGAATCTTTTGTAACATTATAAATGTCTCTACTGTCACTTTCGATCAAATTAATTATTCCTTGATAAATAAAAGTATTGATTTCTTTCCTCCAAAAATTAAAATAAAATTCTCACTGACCCCAAACTTTTGAACGGTAGTGTATATAACTAATATTATTATACTTCTATAAGTGATTACATTTGCTCTTGTTCTAGGCTGCATACATCTATAATATTAAAATACTTTTTTTAATATGCACATTTTTTATCCTCTTTTCTGCCAATATATACATGTATTATTTTTTACGCAATAAAAAAAAAAAAGTTAAACAAAAACAATTATTAAATTATAAATACTATTATAAAATGATTATAAAATATATCATAATACTTAATATTAATAAATGTATATTACAATTTGTTTTATAATTTTCTAAGGGTTTGCATTTATATATATAGATATATATACACACATACACAAACACATTTTCGACCCCTTTTCCACAAGTAAATATAAAATAATAATATAATAAGTTTAGCTACACTGAATAAAATTAAAAGTAGATTATTTAACATATGGACTGATTATCTATTAAATGTGTTTCTATTCATGTCATTGCTTTTCTTATGTTGCCCAAAATGTTATCTAGGTAGGCAGCACTCTAGGTTTTAAAATACAGCCGATAACAACAATGTATAGATTTATGAGAATAGAAGGCATGTTAACAAAGGTGCGTCAAGGGCAGTGTACTACCATATAAACAACTGTTATATATCCCACATTGGTTTATTTGATCCAAACCGAGTGCTCAGATAAAACTCCCAGCAAGTGGAACTTTTAAAAGATCTTTGTAAACACCTGAACACCGATCCATTTTCACAGAATCTCAGCCCTTTAATCTGTATAAGCAAAAGCGAGCAAGAACCAAACATCTCCGAAGCCTCCTGCAAGCAAATGTAAATGATGGTCTGTCCTGTTAGCAATGAAATAGCCAATCATTTCGTCTGCCCCATCTGCTAAAAATAGGCTCTTATGAAAGTCCATTTCGTAAACTTTACAATTGCCACCCACTCTTGTGTCGGATCTGCTGATGTATTGCTGTGTAGGAGGGGGTGTGGATAATGGTGAACTTCGACCCAGTTTACATGTGATTTGCCTGCGTGCAGTGGACTGAACCGGTGTCATCTGTGAATGAAGTCACCGATTACTGTGTAAGGTCAGTGATGAATAACACGGTTACTGGAAAACAAATCAATGAGTCTAAAAGGAGAGACTGAACCTAAACTTACACCCTTCTGTTTATTCAGATCTTAGACAGCAGGGTGGCAGTGAGAGAAGAGCTGCTTGACACAGTGTTGTTTTCTCTTTCACTGCAGTTTATCACTTAAAGGTTAAGCAGTCTATGCTGGAAAACAGGGGGGCTTTTGGGCCTCAATCCCAACATGAATGCTGACCAAAAGTCTCAAAGGACAAGTTCGGTATTTTACACTTAAAGCCCTGTTTCAAGATCGTTTCTGATGAAATAAAACGGTTATGATTAAAATTTGGACAGATGCTGCTGTCCCGAGAAATTTCGGTTTCTGTGGTTGCACCTCCCCCACCTCTACAATGGTTGCATAGGTGCACAGAAACAATCCTTCCTAAAACGCATTAAACTTTAGTTTACAAAGACGTTAAACTCACCGAGTGGTCAGGGGTGTTCACTGATATGCTCACACAAAAATCGCTGCAAAAGATGCTTTCCAACAGGTTTTATCGTAGTTTTTGTCCAAGTCAAGTCAAATGGAGTTGTTCAAAAACTCCGATAAAACCTGTTGGAAAGCATCTTTTGCAGCGATTTTTGTGTAAACTTAAGTTTAATGCGTTTTAGGACGGATTGTTTCTGTGCACCTATGCAACTATTGGAGAGGTGGGAGAGGTGCAACCACAGAAACCGAAATTTCTCGGGACAGCAGCATCTGTCCAAATTTTAATCTTAACCGTTCTATTTCATCAGAAACGATCTTGAAACAGGGCTTTAAGTGTAAAATACCGAACTTGTCCTTTAAACTATTCATCTACAAATCCAACATTGGTGTGCTTTCTAGCTCACTATCAGTACATTTCACATGATCTAATCTCACAGCTTCCTTGAGATCAAACCTGACAACCCCTTTCCTTCCTAAACACTAGCTGCTAATCTTTACGCTTTCTTTTAAACAAAAGAAGTCTTCCAAGAAAATGGTTTTGGTGTCCTGAAGGCACATGCACGCAATTTACGAGCAGTGTTTGGGATGGAGTGGGTGGTTCAAAAGACCCACGCTTGGAGGTGACGCAAGTTCTGTCAGGTCTACGAAACTACAGCCAGTGCGGATTATGCGCTTAAGTTTCTAACTCAAAATATTGCTGTAGGTAGTAAACACTACTGAAAGAAGCAGTTTTATGCAACCTCAGGACAAATCAGGCGGTTGTGAAACGCTAATGAACACTAATGAAAACGGGCAGCAACACTTGGTGTTAGAGGCATTTCTAATGATGGCTTTGTTTGGGCTTGTTGCTCGATTAAGATGTAGAGCTAACACAGGAAAAGGCCCCTCTTTTTCCCGCTCCCACTCTTTCTCTCTCCCTCTCTCTCAGGCGAAGGCCTGTACATTCAGGCAGGGTCAGTCATGGGTCTCCTCCCAGGAGGTTTCTTTCTCTCCCTGCCTGTTCCAACACACTGAAGTGTCAGGCTCTTTAACAATCTGGCGCCAGTTTTACAAAGCTTTCACCTGCTGGACAAAAGCTCAGACCAAGCTACGACCCAAAACCCTAAATGCTATTCACTTGTTCCTCTTTTCCCCCCAGCTCTGCTCTCTTTCCCTATTTAAGACAGGTTTTGTCGCTGAAAACGTGAGATTTGCATGTATTGAACTTGACTAAAGACGAATAAATCTATTTCAAGATTATTGGCCTCAGCCGATAAACATGTTTGATTTGCCAATAAACAAGTTTCGCTGCCTCCTAAATCTACTGACAGCCTTGTCAATAAATTAAATTTTGTAGTGAATTTTACATAAACATTCAGAAAAAAATGTGTTTAATTTTAAGCAAATTAATGTACACGCCACTGACATAATATAACTGAATTATACAATTAGTATAGAGTCGTCAATCAGTATTTTAAATTGCAATGTTATGATGCATTTCATAATGACTTAACATTATAAAATCTCTTTACTTTTACTTTTGAATTGAATGCATTTTTTTACAAAAAAAAAAAGAACAGAAAAAAAAACTTACTCACCCCAAAACTTTGAAAAGTAATGTACATTTATATTACATATGCATCAGTATATTTATAATATACTGGCATTAATACATTTATAATATTGCAAATTGCCATTATATTGACCATCGACTACTCTGACCCATTGCTATTGGCAGCAGCCTTTGAAAAACCCATATTGTTTGGCCAATAGTCTTGATAGGTTGACGGCTGACCGCTAGTCTACTGGAAGAGAGACCGCATCGATTTTTTTTTTTTCAACTTTCCAACCGATTTTGTTTGCAATACAAAATTGGCAAGACTCTTTCTTTCCCAACATAAACAGTCCTGTGACAATTTTTTCCTGCCGTCACTTTCTCTTCCCTACTAATTAGTCACTATTCCGCCATCACTGCCTTATGAGAAAGGGAGGGAGCAAGAATAACAAAAAGAGGAGAGAGAGAAAGAGAGAGACTGACTCAGCACTTCACCACCCCCTCTTCTCTAAGCTCCCTCTTGTTTATGCTTTACTGATCAAAGGAACTGCCAAAAACTGCCCCTCTCCCACCCACCTACCAGTAAGCCACCCTACCCCCAACCCACACACACACACTCCAGGAAAACAGCCCGGGCCGTAGCAGACGAGGAACAGGGGCCTCTTCACGAGGGTCACAGGGGAGGGCCGAATGACCGTCAAACAAAAAGGAAAGGCCACAGAGGAGGAAAAAACGAGCGCGGAAGCAATCCCTCAGAACTCCATTGGCTGTGTGGATTGCTGTGGTCCTGTTACACTTTATGTCACCCCAATCCTCCCCCTCCTATTGCTGCTGGAAACTATGACAGAGACACAGGGGGAGTGAGGGAGGGAGAGGCGGAGAGAGTTAATTTTAATTGGAGCACAGGATGTCGAGTATGAAGATCTCTTGGGTTTCAGACGCAGGCGCACTCACTCACACAGGTGAGCTTTATTAGTCGCGAAAGCTCTGCCCACACGGTGCCCTTTCAATGCAAAACAATGACGCTTATGTTTAATTCAGTGGCAAAATTATACAGACCAAGAATTATCGACCGCAACCAACACAAACGACGTGCCGTTTTCAGACAATGCTTCATATGCAAGAAATCTGCAAACAAACTTCAGACGAACAGAATTCAAGCCTAAAGTTTAACACATATACGCAAACGCCTTCTTATGCAGCATCATAGAACCTCATAAGTGACTGCACTTTTTAACAGCATACTGCAATTA